GCACCAGCACCTCCAGTAGCACCGGCACCTCCGCCAACGCCTCCGCCAACACCACCGCCAACACCTCCGGTAGCACCAGCTCCGCCAGTGACAGCATCAGTAGCAGAGGCACCGAGAGCGCCGGTACCAGTGGCTCCTGCTCCACCACCAATACCACCAGTAGCACCTGCTCCTCCAGTAACTCCTGCTCCGCCGGTAGCACCAACAGCACCAGTGGCTGAGGCGCCAAGATCTCCAGTGCCAGTGGCACCGGCACCGGCACCGCCGCCGAGACCGACGGAAATAACGGCTGTGCCACTTGCTCCTCCGCTGATTGCGCCAGTAGCAGTGATCTCACCACCCAGGGTGGCACTTACACCTCCGCTGCCCGAGTTCGTGCATGTACCGCCACTTGCGTAGACACCAACACCCAGGTCGACGCTTGAAGCAATGCCAGCAATGATGTCGAGGACAGCCGAGACATCAGCTCCAACGTGAATGGAGCCAAGGTTAAGGCCACCACCGAAAAGGCCGGTAAGGGACACACCAACGTCCAGGTCGGCAGTGATACCAACAATGGCCTGGAAAAAGGCGCCAATGGAGGTCTGGATGTCGACGAGAGCCCCAGCATAGACGCTGCAGCCGTTGCAGCCGGCAACGACATCGACCTTGGCCTGAATGGCGGCGAAAAGATCAGCGCAAACCTCAGCAAAGGCCGAGATGTCAGCTTGAAGACCAATGAGATCAGTCAGGGAGATGGATCCGGCAACATTGCAAGTGCTGACACCAGCATTCAGGGTTGCAAGCAGGTCAGCCAGAGCAGAGATGGAGACACTGAGGTCGGCACCAGCAGACAGGCCAACGACGGCATCGCTACAGGCGGACGCCTTGGCGTGACAGCCCGAAAGGGCAGTACCGATCACACTGACACCGGCTCCGACGGATGCAGAGCCGCCAATGGAGATGCCACCGCTGCCACCAAGACCAAGGTCGAATGTACGCTTGTCATGCTGTTGCTGAAGGGACTCGGCCGAGACGCCAAGAACGAGGGCGAGGATGGCGATTTCACGTGCGTTTCTCATTTTTGCGGTATTGTGTAGTAATTGTTGTGAATGATTGTTGTGTGTAGTAAATGTCGTTGAGTTGAATGTATTCGAGAGAAAGGACTGACACGGTCAGATTGATTGAATATTATTAGCGAGTGTATGTTTGGACTGGAAATAGAAAGACGAATGGAGAGATAGGAAAACGAGAAAAGATTGATTGACTGATGATGGAAAAGAAGTTGAGGCAAATAGGCAGCTCAATGCCTTCTTATATTCATCTATTTCTCACGAGCATCCTCAGTGCTGTTGCTGACGGTTTTCGTCTGGCGGCGCTAAAAGCGTTCCTCGTGTTTTCGAAATATGATCAATGGCCTCGAAACGATCCATCACAACTAGCACTCAATGAGCTAACCAGACCTGTCAGCCTGGTAGGTGTCAGAGAACAAGGAGGCTACGGTTCGGTCAACCGAGTCCCACAAAGATCGACGTGAAAACTACCGGCTCTCTGGCCTATGCAGATCAGCCGCTGTGACCCAGGGTCCCGTAATCTCGGAGAGGAGTTCAAAATGAGGTATGGGCTGGCGGTGAATGGGCAAAAGGGCTGCAAACATCCAGACCAAAAATGTACTGTTCCACCTGAGAGCTAAGCAGCTGGCGGCCCTCAGGTTAGACGGCATAATATTCGGTGTGTGGGGCGACATGCAACAACACAGACTGCCGAAGGACACAGCAAGGACATGCGATCTTTTGTCAGTCTTCGTACGGGAATGGAGGCGGAATGGCCGGCCAGACCATGTTGGTACATACAAGATCTGGGGACGCCCTGTGGCCTGTGATGGTTTTAGACACATAACTAAGCTCTGGGGTCTTTCCAAATGCGGCTTCGAGAAAAGTGACAGAATAAGCTTGAAGCGCATTGAAACATGACGACGGCGTGATTTCTGTATACTACGGTCCATCTTTCATTTAACGTTGTGGAGCGCAGGCATGCCCGAGGGCGATCGTCTCCACTCATCTAGGCTGAGGTCGTCCAAGGGTCGTCCCGGCCATGTCTATAGTGGTTAAGCCGGCGCGTTCGAGACACAACCTAGCACGGAAGGACCATCAAAGCACAACACTGGATGCTCTGTTGAGTGAGATGAATGACGAGATAAGTTTTGTTCGTGGATTGCTCGTCCCATTTAGTAGTGTGTTTTTGCGCTTCAAGTGGCAGATTTGTTATTTTAACAAAGGTCATATTGGCCGTAAAACTGACTGTCAGACCTGTCGTCTGAAATTGGTGGCACGACCTGGTGTCATTAGATCGGGCGCGGTACGGCCGTGCGACGAAAAGGAGAAGCTGCCTGATTACGTCTAGACCTCCAACATGGGCAAAATCGTCTTGTTGGTAAGGCTTGCCGTCCATGTGCCGTGGCAGTGAGATTTTGCAGTTTGCTTTTTTTTTTTTTTTTTTTTTTTGGTAAAGAGCGGTGCGCGATACGAGCAGGTCAAGAGTCGCATCACTCATGCGCAGATCTGCAAGCAGTAGTGCATCGACCAGGTGTTTTCCAAACATACCTTCGGAAATTTTTATTCTGAGACGATCCGGGGATCATGATTTTTCTTTGTTTTCGGTCTAGACAGGTTGGAAGTGGTAGTGATTGGCGCAAACTCTAGCGGAGCTCTCCCCTTGAATTCCCTCCCTTGCTTTGATATACGATCTCGGGCGAAGTCCAGGGCAACTAAACCTGGATGGTCCCCGTCATTCTAACATCGCGACTACTAGCACCTACAAACACGGTGTAGTTGCCGTCCTGGACCTTCCACTGCTGTGATGCTACGTCCCAGACACTAAGGTCCCGTCGAGTCAATTCGAAACGAACTGTTGCTGACTCCCCTGGCTGGAGATGTACTTTTTCGAATCCGCGGAGCTGCTTCGGTGGACTATTAGGAATGGCCATGTACAGCTGCGCCACCTCTGCACCCGCCACTGGGCCCGTGTTTGTGACCGTGCTGTCGACTGTTGTGATGATAGTCCACAGATCTGCATGAGAATCCAGGGCAGCATTGAGTCCTGTGGAGTTGATTGATAATTGGTCAAAGTCAAAAGTTGTATAGGTCAGACCATATCCAAATTCGTAGCGTGGGGTGATGTTCTTCTCGTCGAAATATCGGTAGTCGAGGTAGACACCTTCAGTATAGTCGCATTGAGGATCTGTGTCATTGGGCCCTATCTTGCCGCAAACATGATAGACTGAGTAATCACTTTCGTTCTTGGCCATGGTATATGGCAGCTTTCCAGAAAATCCTGCTTCGCCATAGAGGAGCTGAACGAGAGCGGTGCCACTGTCCTGCCCAGGAAGATGTGCTATGATGGTTGCAGTCACGTTAGGATGATCAATCCATTGGTCGACGAGCCGTACCCCTACAGTGTGAACCACTACAATGGTATTGGCACACTTTGATGCAACGTTGAGAACGAGGCCATCGCTGGAGTCATCATGGAGTCCATCTCTATCCCAACCCTCCGTCGATATGGCATTGATAAACACCAGGCAAGCATCAGAAGCGGCATTGACTCCGGGATTTGTGGAGTCAAGATCCCAGTTGAGCCACGTGCCGTCGGCTTTTGCGCGTTGTTGAATCGCGGCCAATGGATCTATAATGTAGCTTGGCGCATTGGCTCCCGCCCTTCCACCAACGACGATGGTCCCGCCTTTTGCGGCTTGGTCAAAATGTTGTTCAGTTCCAAGAACCGCTTGTGTCATCTCTGGTGAAGAGAAGTATCCCAGTTGGAACACAGTGTCGGTGTTCTTGGTTCTCGGTATCGTGGCATCATAACCGTACACTGATAGCATTTTCGGTTTCGCCTTGAGTGGCAGCGCCTCATTGACATTCTTGACAAGGACATGACCAGCAACTGCACCTTCGAGCAGTATGGGCTCCGATTCTGGTAGTCTTGCATCAACAATATCATGCGGGAGTGTGAGATTTTTCATGCCTATTCCTGGTGTGGGGAAGTTAGTGCCATCTTGTCCCACCAAGTACCACGCAGCAGTGATGCTGGAGAATTTTTAGCTTTCAATGCAAAAGGTCGTACTCTTTTGGCGGACTTACCGGACTGCCATGTCTGTAACTCTATCCTCACTCACACTGCCATTGTGGACTGCTGCCGTCAAGTTGTCGCCCCAATTGCCGCCTCCAGGCATGAGCATGTCAAGTCCAGCATTGGCCGAGTCGAGGCTGTGCACTGCATTCCAGTCCAACATGATGAAGCCTTGGAATGAGGTCTCCGTTTTCAGCAGCCCATTCATGAGCTTACTATTTTCGCATCCATAGGTATTGTTGATGCGATTGTATGAACACCTAAGAATAGGTCAGTATCATTATGCGTTCTGACAGATTTATTGTCGTGTTTGGGAATCCAAGTTATTACATGGCTGATGCAACTCCCGCCTGGACAGCGTCCATGAACGGCCAAAAGTAGTACTCATGCAGAGTCTTATCGTCGATATTAGAGGAAGCGGCTTCGACTCCAAAGTATGGCCGTCTGTATGTCTCTTGCTCATTGGCAATGAGATGCTGCAGAGACATCATCAGTGATGCAACGTCAAATTTCGGGGATTGAAGGATTACCTTGATCACTGCAATGACTCCTGCATCCTGGGTACCAGTAATGGTCTCGGCATTGAGCCTACCGGATAGATAAGGGTCGACAGAAAAGCCTTCAAAATTGCGCCCAGCCAAGGGAGACCTCCCGAGTGGCCCAGCATTTGGCCCAAGCATGACATTTACTACGTGCGAGCACGTCAGCATCTCTTTTAATCAGTATCCAGTTCGTGTTGGACCGTTGTACCTCCTTTGGCTTTGAACTCCAGGCCCATGTAGAGTCCCCTCTCATAGGTCAGGTTTTTGTCCCAACTCGCACCAGCATGAATGGCAGATGGGTATGAGTTGACCATGTCGGTAGCACGAACACCGTTTCCAGCATCATGAAGACACATGCCGGGCCAGTTCAATCGCGGTACGGTTCCCGTGTTGCCAGCGCAAACGTTGTCGGACACAGTGAAGCCTCGGGTGATGTTGACCTTTTCTTCTAGGGTCATCTGGCTCACAAGTTCTCTGGCACTGACGTAGGCCTCCTCCCATTTGCCGGTTCCGATGCCCGGAGCTGTCCCAATGCGCGTCAGCATTGATCTGTGTTGGCATGTTTTCAGGCTTCAGCTCGAGCTTGGAATTACTTACGCGATGGGTAGACTGGTGGTGAGCTTGCATATGAGGCCATGACCGACGCTGCTGACAACAGCAGAATACCGAGTTGTGTCGCCATTTTGCCGCTGTAACTTCTTCGTCCCGAACAAAGATGGGGATTGTGCGAGACGGAAAGAAGACTTTATTGAGAGCAGTGTTAAGGTTACTAGGTACTTTGCATAGATGGAGCAAAGTGGATAACGAAGCTTGGTGCGATCTGGGGGTATAAGTAAGGAGGAAGGAGCCTTATCAGAGTTCAATGCTCTTGCCTCCCACAGTATTAACACAATCACCCACCTTGACTCCAGTTTACAACTTTGACGAGTCTGTTGCCTAAAAGATAAAAGGTATGTACTCTTTCTCGACACGGAGGCAAATGAACAAACAAATTGATATATGTAGGTACCTATTCAACTCATCTGACACCCTGATCAGGGCAGCAAACTGCGAAAAATGCTGCCGATGCAGACCCAAACATGCACCGGAAAACAACGTTGAAGGCCAAGAACCTGATAACCAAAAGTTACGTAGGTCATGCAAGGTAAGACAAAAGAGGCTCCAGGACGGGAGAGGCTTGGGGGGTCGGCTAGTCTCCCCCGGAACCGCGTGCAGCCAATTGGATATTGCCCCCAGGCTGCGCCCTGGCTAAAGGGGGGGGATTAGACCCATAACAGCATCGATACTAGAGAGCGTCACTCACGGCAATCAACAAAGACAGCACTGTCAACTTCTTCACCGCATCACTCGGAAGGCTGACTACATGTTCCCCGGACTTTCATAAGCCGGGACATGGTTCCGAATTTCCCGGTCGGGCACGGATTGCCTCAGATGATCAATACGAGAAGCTCGTCCCGTCGCGTCCGCTCTTTTCTTCGCTTCTTTGACCGGGAGAACACCGGCTGAACCACGGATGATCGTAATGGGATGGATGATCATCGCCTACATGCAGTGCCAGGCCGATTATGGCGATATCTCTGCTGCAAAGAACGTAATATATCCCAAAGTGGATAAATCGTTGATCTGCCTGATCACCCAAGTCTTCAACAGGATATAGTCACGGCTTCTTTCTACCGTCAACGCGGACTTCCGGACTTGTGCACATCACATTTTTGCGCGAATAAGAAACACATGATCAAGAGTCAAGCTGGAAATGACATGCATTGTCCAAACCAAATCAATTAACACGCTTGCATACGGGATTATTCGTGAGTTGCCGAGAGTCAACTGACCGGTTGTACCCACTTCATCTAGGCTGCATCAGGGGATTCCACTCAAGAACTTGTGTAACACCATGTCGATGCTTTCAAACATGACATTAACAAACAGAAACTGACATTGAATAGACCAACAAACTAAGGCCTCCATCTCCAGGCTGGGTTCCTCCATTCCAGATCTTCAATCTCCTCGGAAGTGAGCCCGTCGAGCGCCTGATCAATGTCCTTCTGATCACGTTTCTTGTTGTCGCGCTCCATCCACAGCAAGGTAAGGGTACTGGAGATGAGAATAGTCGACGCAGCTGCCAGGTTGAGCCCGTTGCCAATGTGGTAATTGGGTGCATCCCAGGCAATGTAGCTCCAGGTTGCGACCAGCCCACCAATGTTACCAAATGTCATATTGGTAGCGAGCGACATGCTGCGGGATGTGTCGCTAATTACCTGCGCGGCAACTTGCGCGTTGGCCATGGGTCCGATGGCAAAGGTGCTGCTGGTCAGGAAGAACGTGGCAGCGTATCGGACCGTTGGGTTGGTGCTACCGAGGAACATGGCGTAGCCGAGCATAACCAAAGGCGCAGAAGCAATGATGAAGTGCTGTCTCTTGTCCGTTCTCCAACTCAGTGCAGGAAGCAGTAGAGTAAAGAAGGCTCCGACAATGTATGGGGGCACCGTGTAAAGTTGCTTTTGAATTGTTGTATAAGTCGGGTAGATGGTGGCGACGATCGTGGGTAGGAAAAAGGCCAATCCCTGGACTGTGATATTGTTGAGCATGAAGACGAATGCTGTACTCAATACGGCAGGGTTCCAGAATCCGAGCCACAGCTTCTTCTTGGTGAATTTGTCGAGAACACTGGTTTGTCCGACACGCTCTGACTTGACTCTGGCAATAGCCAAGTCCTTCTCCTCCTGCGTGAGCCTGTGTTGACACGATTAGTTGCGCCATTCTCTAGATTTCATGTAAATCTGCATGGTGATATTCCTTACCATCGTGCAGTCGCTGGTCGATCTGTCAGCGTGAAAAAGGATATCAACGACAGACCAATCGTAATGATTCCTTCAATCGCAAAGATCATGCGCCACTTGTGCAGAGTACCAAAGCCGGGCAAACTCAGAATTCCAGACGCAAGAAGACCGCCAAAGGCGCCTGCCAGAGGGGACATGACGATGAAGAGGGAAAGTCTGAAGGCCAGCTCCGAACGTCGGTACCTGCGATTTGTTTGTTCAGCACCATTAATCAAATGGAGGAGCGGAAATTGTACAAACTCACCAGCGTGACAAGTAGTAGGATATTCCCGGCATCATACCACTTTCAAACACACCAAGCACGAAGCGCACGCCACAGGCCTGCGGCAACGTGGTGACGAATGCAGTACCGAGAGATGCAATGCCGAAGCACAGGGACATGATTGGAATCGCCCAGCCGGGTCCAAGCCACTTGCAACCGAGATTGCAGGGCACCTCAAACAGGATATAGCTGATGTAAAAGACCGACAGCAGCTTGTTATAGTCGTACGTGCCCGTCATGCCCAATTCTGTTTCGAGCCCAGCTAGCCTGGCATTACCTGAAGCGGCGTCAGTCTGCAATGCTCATTCAGGATCTAAAGTTGTTGCGCGGCCTACCAATGTTTGCTCGATCGATGAAACAGAACAGATAGAGGAGCGCGACAGTAGGTATGACATAGAGATCGATCTTTAGGCGCAACTTTCTCTCGGCGGCCTTGTCAATATGGACCAATGAATGACCATATCTGTATGGCGCGTTAGTCCATGTGCACATTTCACATTTCCGACACGTCTTAAGGGCAATATTCACCTGTCGGTGGCGGCCAGGCCCCTTTCCGCTGCGGTATGGACATTTTCCTCGTGCTTCATGTCCATGACTTTTTCATTCCGAGTGTCGTCGTGGTACGCCATCTTGGGCTGCGTGGGGAGAACTCTTTTCGCTCGCTCGACCTGAGAAGAGAAGCACGAGACAAGAGAAGGAAACAAGACAAGAAGAGGTCAGGAGAGTGGCATATTTACAGTAACCCCGGCCGGAGTAAGTAATGCTGATCGGATATTGATTAAGTTGCGATAAAAGCTACTAGGGTCGTACGTAACCACCGACCCTTTCTTATTGACCCGTGAGTAAGAGTCCGGGGTTCACTTTTTCTCTTCTGGACAAAAGGCCGAGGTGCGATCCTGCGCATCCTTCGTGTCTTGCGGAATAGTGGGATAAGTGTTTATCAAGCGAGAAAGTGCCAAGACAGAACGTTTGGAGAATCCCAGCACATTCAAGCCTGGGCAGGTGTTTGGAGTCAGTGCCCAACCAATCGATTTCGAAGCATGACTCTCAGCCGTCGCCTTTTGCACAAGCCGCTGAAGCTTAAAGGGGACTTCAGTGGCTTTTCCTATCACTAGTTGCTATCTAGCTCTGTCTCCCCCATATGGGGTTCCGTGCGGGGGTGGAGAGGTTGAGAAGCCACTGTGAATAGACCATCTTGGCATGAGGAGCATCATCGGCCAAAGACCCAGAGTTGGAATGGTGTCTGCCTTGATTGAAGCGCCAAGACTCTTTCAAAACGCAGAAAAAGCATGGCAGTGGACCTGCTCGACAATTACCGCTGCGTACGTGGTAGCAACGATACGACGCGTTGACCCTGCGCGCCCCTCGACTTGAAGGACAAAAGGGAAAGTCACACATATATATGCATGATAAGTAGGACTCATCACAACGTCTTGTACGAATTGCGGAATATTGCTTAACCAGAATCGACCACACGGCGATAAGTCGGACTCTCAGAGACTGTTGACATCTTGAGATTCGTTCATATCACAGCAAGACCATATCCACCTTTGAAGAAAGGAACGATCCAACACGGCTCCGAGAGCCTGGAAACGGACTCATAATCTCATCAGGTATGGAAGTATACCAACATGAACGATGCGAGCTGGAGTTCGTGGGTGCAGAGCATCCAGAGTCAGCCTGGCGGATCGTATTGGTATGCCAGAACTAACCAAACACGGTAAGCTAGCACCTATTGGTTCATAGGGCTCAGCCATGAATTCCAATCATTTGTTTTCTCTGAATTTCAAATTCATGAACTCCTCATGTTAAGCGTTACGTATAGTTCTTCTATAGAGCGTGCAACAAGAAGGCAAGACGTTGAGTACATTGAAGATCTGGACTGTGAGATGAACTAGTAGTAGCTAATGATAAGCGCAATCATTTAGTCCAACCCGAGAAGCGCAATCACAATGATGAACCCGCAATAGCCACATCATTCCCAACAATGATTGGCCCCTCAGTCCCTCAGTGCTGAACCCACCGAGACTGACTTACTCCGGGTTCCCGGAGATTCTTTCTCAACGGAGTATTAGGTCGTCATGGCGACAGAATCGATCTACTATGTATCAATGAAGCCAATCTGCGGCTCGTTGTGACGAACAAAAAATTCCTCAATTATAGAGGTTAGGATCACGTGCAACATGACGCCTCCAGCGATGGCGCCGCGCATGCAAAGTACAGTGGTATCTCTCAACTCAAACTCGGTGATAAGATCGTCATGAATGGCTTTCGCGGCATCGTCGCTGGGTGAGGTTTCGGTCCATCCCTATAGGCTTGTTCTCGGATGATGCTGGAACAGGATCCGCTGAACTATCCAAGGGTGTGAGTTCGAGACTCCCACGTTGGGCAAGACTTAAGAGATATGAATATGGTGCTAAAGTATGATCGGACTTCAAACAGTGTTCATACGGGCCGCTCGATGCGCATACGACTTGTAACCCAGCAATGTTCCCCAGGACACCCATCATCACGGAAATATGGAACAAATTGATAGTACGGGGGGAAACGGACTCATTGACAAAATGGATAGTTGATATCCAGTTTCATTTCCAGTGACCATTATCAGAGTCACAAGACCAGTGCAAACCCCTCCCAAAATCGACAAGTAAATGACTTTGGTATTTGGAACAGAGCACCTTTGCGTCAGCAATTCGGCCGACAGTGACACACGCATACCATGGCTTGATGTGTTGATGACTGTCCGAATGATAGGGGTGATCAGAGTACAGCTTGAGAGCCTGGGCTATCAAGAGCAGTATAAGGCCAAAGCTTTGGGCAAAAGATTCCAGGCATGCCATCATGGGATTACTAAGACTAACTCGTAAGTTCTGTATAATCTGAGTAGACCACGTCCTTCCTCAGGCTGTCTTTAGATAGCAGTTCCAGTTTCCTGATTCCTTAGGCCTGCCACGCAAAAATGGAGGCTGTTTGGCACCTACAAACGGCTTCGAATCATCTCAATTCATCCTGCATCAGATTTGGCAACTTTAACAAAAGCTCAACAAATCAGTCATCTCAACAAATATCTCCCATCCACTATTTTCTTGATACACCCATTCTTTTTCCTATATATATCACTCCATTCTCATTAGGTAATTGGATATGTTTTACTTCTAGTCTCCAATAAACTTTATAAATGATTCTCTTGATCAAACTCTCCCCCCAGCTCCTGGGACCCTCAAAACTTCTAAGACATTCGTCTCCATTTTTCAGTAATAAGAGATGTATATACTGATCCATGCTCCATGTCTCAAGACATGCTACGCGAAGTGAACGAAGCTATCAAACATAGGATCGGACATCTCAATAGCGTGTTAAGAATCCGGCAAGCTCAAACTTAGCACCACAATACCTTAGGGGTTGTATACGTCGAGTTCAAGTCACTTAATACGAGCTCATCGGCAATGATAGTTCTTCACTGATTCTGCCAACATCGCCACTTGACCCTTCGCTAAAAGTTTTGACCCTTTTGCCATTTCCTGCCACCACACAACAATCAGACACTGCTGGCTATTCGACTCTTTGCATTTCTTCGCCCCTCAATAACTCTCCATCACCTAATTCTTCCAGTCTGCTTTCTTTAGTCCTTTTGTGCCGGACTCGTTTTCATTGGCGCGTATAACTAGCAACTGTTGGCTACTCCATTGTGGTATCCCGCAACTCGCAAATACATCTGGCCAACAACGGATGGACTCTTGATCTACGCAAACCTCGACAGGTGTTTCTCTGAATACTGTCTATAGCATATCAAGACACAGCCAAGTCTCAAGAACTAATACAGACAGCTGTTGAGCTATTCGGGACCCAATTTCATTGGGTCCGTCCCAGCTCCGACGCTGAAGCTGAGTAAGCTCCGAACAGAGTCGGCGGCCATGACTTGAGTTGAGTCACAGATTCCCCCTGATAATGAGTACCCAAGCGCTGGTATTCCATCTGATGATCGCCAGGATGGCGTCATGACCGTGATTATGCAGGCAGAGTACTCACGATTCGAGGAATCATCGTTGTCAGGGCCCAGCCCGACCCTAGGAGAACCTTGTTATTTCCTTCAGCAGCATTCACTGATAGGATCGATGGAAATGGCTCCATATACTTGTCGTTGCTCCATCTTTGCGTACTCTTCAATAGGTCAGCGAGATCGAGAAGTTCTTTGACCAAGGTTTGCTAAGTTTCACTCGACTCAAGCATCGCTACCACACTAGAAGTACACATTCGCCTGCCCCGATGCTAGTGAATAGACACGCGCAGCCTCGTGGGATAGCGAACCACATACAAACTCCTCCAAATGGGGGAGACTCGAGTGTGCGTGCATCATGCACTAGGCACCACTGCGACCTCGCAAAGGCCACCGACACGTTCCTCGACCAAGCCGCCGTTTGACAACCTGCGACAACGTATGTTAGGTTTCAAAGGTTATTTAATGCGCTGGCGCTCCTAATGATTGATTTAATGGGTATATTGCGACTCCCGGTCTTCTTTCTTTTCTTTAGGGGCTTAGTACAGGCTATTGAGAGATACCTTGGCTCTACACGCCCCATAGATCGACTCTTCTGTCCGCTTGCAGAAATTCGCAACTGCACACCGTCATTCGCCACCGATACGGTGAATACAAGGATATATTGCAGCGTGCCTTGAACAAATTCGAAATACCTCTCCCAGGATCGAGAGAACGAATGGCCAAGCAATATTTGCTAGCTCCAGCTCGACGAGTGGATCAACGATGGGCAGTACCATTCGGATGCTAAGGCAGAAAAGCAGCTCAAGAGGCTCAAGTATTTGCCAGAGCTACTATTTGCGACATACGGACCCGGCCATTCAGCGTTGGATGCCAAGAAAAGAATAGGGCAAGGAACTCGATTGGTAGCCCATATCCATTGTTCGCTTTACTACCTACTTACCATGTATTCTGCCAATTCGAGTCTCATAGAAATCTTGGTCGGACATTGCCAACTTGGGGCTGTCGATGCATCAATCCGGACCAAACTCTACAGTCGCCTTGTTCACAAATCATTGATACAGTAATCATGATGTCTCATCCGAAATCGTAGGAAGCTTGGCTTGGAAAAATTACCAGAAACAGAAATGTATAATTCCAGACAGACCTAACCAAGCCCCAATTTCAGCCGCCCCATAAAATCCAAGACAGTTCGGAATTTCTGTATGGGCAGGCTTTTACGGGATACTGCCCAGTCCCATATGGTGGCCGCACTCGCTCTATATCCGGGGCAAAAAGACCCTGGTACCCATTTATTTTGGTTAAGCTTGGTGTCTGGTCCGCCCCAGGTGGTGCATTGCCCCTCGCCTTTTTCCCGGTGAAAATGCCCCTCCATTTGATGATGAGATGATCGGGGGAATTGATTGTCCAAACTGCTTCTTGCCTCTCTTGAGTTAGAAAGAAAGCTTGGGGTGGCGCAACGGCAGAAGAGGGCTCAGCTCCAAATGTCTCCCCAGGGGAGAGAGTATTTGTCATTGCGATTCTGTTTTGCGACAACCCCCAGATTTAAAATAAAGTCAGTCACGTCATGAGCTTCAGTGCTGTACGTGCATCCTGACCTTCCGCAATTGTATATCTAGCACACACAAATCACCGGTAGTAGCTTGCATTTATAATCCTTCTTGTTATTTTCTTCTCTCTATCTAGTACAGCAAATCCACCTTTTATATGGGCCAAGCGTTTAGCAATATAACCAGACAAACACTACTACTCGTCACCCTCGCAGTTGTATTCCTGGCCATGGCCTTTCAGATGCCCAACTTTCTCGCCCGACTCTTCCGACCCCTCTCCACCACCAGCAGAATGTCCATTACCGGCGACGCGACCAACGGTATCGGCGGCGGCGGCGGCGGCCTCACCTCCCTGCCCGAGGGCGCCGAGAAGGCGACCGTGGCCGCTGGCTGCTTCTGGGGCGTTGAGCACCTCTACCGCAAGCACTTTGGCGGCAAGGGCCTGTACGATGCGCGCGTCGGCTACATTGGCGGCGACGTGAATAACCCGACCTACCGCGCCGTATGCCGAGGCGACACTGGACGTAAGTCACAACCAGCTTGTTATATAATACGTCAAGACAATTAGGGGAAAGAGAATTGTTGTAGCTAATCAGCTTCTTTTACTTTGCTCCAGACGCCGAAGCCACCCAAATCATCTACGACCCAACCAAGATCACCTACCAGCAGCTCCTCGAGTTCTTTTACCGCATGCACGACCCGACCACGGCCAACAGCCAGGGGCCCGACGTGGGCTCGCAGTACCGGTCGGGCATATTCACCCACGGCCCGGAGCAGGAGCGCGTCGCCCGCGAGGTCACGGCCGCCGTCAACGACCAGTGGTGGAAGGGCCGCGTCGTCACAGAGGTCCTGCCCGCCGGCCGCTGGTGGGACGCCGAGGACTACCACCAGGAGTACCTGCACAAGAACCCCAGCGGCTACGAGTGCCCCAGTCACTTTCTCCGGTCCTTTCCTGACCTCAAGTGACCATGCCCGAGAATGGAGCACAAGCTGTGAGGGACAGGAAGGGGGCGAAATACCGGTTGGGCCGAAAGGAGTTTCAATGCAACAAATTGTGGTTTAACAAGATACCAAGGGGAGGATTCAACACTAGATCTAAATGGATGGAAATTATGGGCACCATAAACCGTGCGCCGAGGAACGCACAACCAAGACCTCACATGTGCCGTAAGTAAGAGGTTACCGCGATGGCTTGTGTGCAAAATGTGCAATATACAGTAAAAGAAGGGAGAGGTCGGGAATAGTCATTCGAGAGCGACGAGCGACGAGCGCGTCGCCAAGGGGCCTCAATGTGGAACAAAACAGTAAAAAAATAAAAATCTTATTCAACATGAATTTTCGATGCGGCAATCTTATAGACAGTGAATGTGTGTTGAATTACGGGTAATCCTGGCAAGTCTCATGTTGAGCAATCAGTTTTCATCTGATGAAAGCTTGTATGGCTTTCCGACAATTACATTATGTTGAGATATTTCTGCTGAACGGCTGTTCGAATGTCCTTGTTGCGTTTCCATGCAGCTAATATCAACCGAGTGGTGCACAGGGTCGAAATGAAAATTAGAAATATTTCAAAGTTTTTATTTTGATTTGCCTTTTTTTTTTTTTCTTCTTTCTGCTCACTATGCCAGGTAGGCGATAAAAATGATAACGTATTAAAAAAACAGAGCCGCAGTATGAGGGGAGTATAAATCTAACTCATTCTTTTTCCTCAAGACCGTTGGTATCTTCGCCATCGTCGCGTCTTCTCATCCTCCTCTATTATACACTCGACCTCAGTAAAATCACATCTACTTGCGTCGGTTTTGCTGCATCATCAGAATCTGGACCATTCTGATGAATATGTTGAGGAAGTCCAATTCGAGCGAGATGCTCTCGTTGACAGGGTCCTGCTTGATGATGCCGCGCTCTGCCAGGCGGGCGTGGTGGAGCACCTTCTGGACATCGTACAGGGTGAAACCACCAAAGACGGCGAGACCACCGTACAGCCAGATGTTCTCGGTAAAGGCGAGGGTACGGACAGCAGTAGCGGGAATGACAAGAGGAGCGAGACCAGAGACGGCGACAATGGCGGCACCGGCCAACAGAGGTCCACCAATGTAGAGGTACTTCTCCTGCTTGGCAGTGGCACCAACAAAGGAGATGGAACCCATCATGGCAACAGTGTAGAGACCAGCACGAGCGATCAGGGCACCGGGGGCGAATGCAATCAGAGGAGCGATAAAGGCAGCCTGGGTGGCGTTGAAGGCAGTCCAGAGAGCGTACTTGGGAATGTAGCTAGCGGTTGGTTAGCAACTACTTCTCTCGAGTGTTCACAAAGTATTTTAGGAATAACTTACTTGTCAGGCTCAATCATGCGGGTTCCAATCATGGTACCAAAGCTGAGAGCAAGACCACCAATGGCCACGACCCAAGGGTTGGTGACCATCATTCTGTACACGAAACCAGACTGGACCATTTGGCGCGCAGTCAAACCAATAATACCAATTCCGAGACCAGTGTGCATGAAAGTCTGGTTCAAGTACGACCTCTCGAAAGCAGGCATGCCACCATCTTCGCGAGTCTCGCGGTTGAACATGATGTTCATGGCAATTAGGGTACCACCAAAGATGGCACCACCCGTGAGCAAGCGACGACTGAGGGAGCTCGCATCAGCCGGGGCGGCGCCAGCCTGGTACTGGTAGGATCGGGCCTGCTGGAAGACATTGCGCTTGGTGGATCGGAGAATGGACGATGTGGTGGCCGTCCTCGAGGTGAAGAAGGACGACGACTGCTTTGTAGATGTTTGGTGGAATGCGCGAATGGGGGCGCTGCTTCGGAAAGCGGACTTCGTCAGCTCTGGGAGCTTTGTCGCCAGGCGCGCGGGCCCTTGGCGAACCGTAATGGTAAAGGACATGGCGTTGGAGGTATGCCCTAGGAGCAGTTTGAGTGTAACGGGCGATATGGGAAACAAAAGGGAATTGACCAAGACGATGAGTCGAGGATGTTGGGGAGGGACCCGGTGATGGTTTTATTCAAAATCGTTAAGTCCGGGCCGGAGGCAAAGAAAGAATGACGACGAGGTTTCCCGAGGTGAAGGTGGAGCTTTTTTTCAGACCTGTGACCTGCCACCAGCTATGTTTGGAGCTTTCTGGCTTAGGTCATCGAGGCTGCTAAGAAGCTGGTGGAACATTCGTCAAAGGGCAGCTGGCGAGCCCGTCAACCCGTCAAACCCATCCGCTGCCGCCCGCAACAGTGCTTATTTTCCAGAGCTAGATCCCTGTTAGCAGCGCTTGAACTCCCGGGTCTTTGTCGCTGAATCGATCTGATTATGGATTAGCTTTTCTCTCATTGGCTGCGCAAAGGACAATTCTCGACATTTCCACCATTTATGGTGGTGCATGGAAAAATGTTAGTATACTATGGTAGACCCTTTCTCTTTTTAGAACTCGGAGACGTGCTCACAAGATGTTTGAATCAGATACGTATTGCGCGCTTCCTATTCCACATCACTTTCATGGTATTTCATTCATTCAAGACCTACACAGCCGTTCCATAGCAATTATTACAGCCACAAATGCACCAATCAACAAGATGGTCGGAGACTGTTTGATCGACACTGGTAAACTCATTTGAACTCAATTTCATATTATAACTGCCATTCTCAGCAAATTATCTGTTGATAGTACCTGCTTTCCATGATGAAGCACCATTTCTCGTAGCTCGGGTGGCCGAATGATGAGGAGGAAATCAACATAACATCCATGATCCAACCCATTGACTCAGCAGCCCACACGGGAGACAGCTGCCGACATATTTGAACCTTCAAGGCGTAATTGAAAGCCACGATGGCGCTCCCATAAATCCCTTCTGAGCTTTGCATATTCCGGTGGCCGAGGGGAGGGGCCTGATGTCTCTAAAATCTCCGATATTGAATGTGGTTACATTCGACTCAAGCCGTCGCTTGAATATCGGGACGCGTATCAAAGTATCACGGAGTTGCCCAATACAAAATTCACTCTAAATGAACAGACCTTGAAACTTGTAATAGATTTCCCCCCTCGAGGTCCTATGATTACAATCATCTAAACCGACTACCTGAAACATAAAGACTTGCTCTAGCCTAAAGACTTAAGCCGCATGAAAGTCTGGCGAGTTATATGCATAAGTTGGGCACTAGAAGTGAAGGTATATGTATACTTGACAACTCTGTGGTGTATACACCCAACTTTTTTTTTGCTTCACTCACAATTCGTTACAAAGTGGCAGCTGCTGTCACCAGATACTAGAGTTAGGCAATATTCTTTGACGTTCGTCGTCTACTCTTTTTTTACCTCTTTCCAAACTTTTCTTTCTTACTCTTTGATTGCATTCATATATTGTCTTCTAGAGGCCTCGAAACCATTAGGTCAGATACCCCCACCTGATGTTTCATTGCTGGTTTACCACATGACCAGTAAACACCTATCTCACAGAAGTCGGGCGAGGCAGATGGGAACAGAAATGCCAAAAGATTCTATGACAATGACCATCACAGGAGTAGAGATAATCCCTTCCGTGATGCTCAATCGAATACGAGCATGATTGCCGACCGTGAGTGTATAAAATGGCATGCACCCCCGAGCCATTTTCGGTGCCATTGTGGCGTAGCTCAGTCTCGCATAGCTTACGGGCAGAACAAAGTATAGGGCAAGTCGTGTACGAATCGGGACGACTCATCCCAGTTTTGCATTGGAGGCCGGTTCTGTAGTCCTGGACCACGACTTCAAAGAACAGGAGGACAAAAGTTGATGGACTTGAGATGGCCGTCAAACTGAGCTTGTTGATGCTCATTTGGACGGAAGAGGAGATCAACGAAGATGACTGAAATTTACACAGATCGCAACTTTACAGGTCTCTCATAGCATTTGTCTTGGTTGTCAGATGGGCATCTGCATAAGATATTTGAGAATGTCATATTCCCACACCGTCGTCGGCCGAGGCGCTGTAGGGCATACCTGACAGAAGCAAACGGTTTTGGTTGACGGTTACATCACGAAGGTCGCTCCAATGGCTTAATGTAAAGTTCTATAGACTTTTAACTAGTTAAGAAAGCAATATAGTCGATGGCTACCTAGAGGCTCACTGCTCAAATCTCTGAAACTTCAAGGGTTTACGTTCTTGTGACGTTCCTATGCCCTTCCCTTGTTTATAGTTTGAAAAACGATATATCCTGTGCACGTTTTGCGCTTCTGCCCATTAAATCCTCTAGATTGAAAAAGTTATGTCTCAAACCCCTTTAGATGTAAACTGGAGCAAATTATGGGAGTTCAAGGTATATCTTGCTTGGAGCAGACAACCATTAGAGGCCTCGTCTTCACTTCACAAGATGCCGTCAGGAAGAGAACGTTTGATACTAGTAATTCACAAGCTATGCAGCACTCAATGACAATCACCAGCGAATGTCAATGATTTGAATTCTCACTCGTCCACTCCGCATGTATCAAGGTAAAGGAAGTAGGGTGATTGCAAACAGATTCATTCGATTTTCCCCCAACCATGTCGAAGCCCAACCAGTACATTAGCCCAACCAGTACATTAGAAGTCACCCGTGACTGCACCATGAAATAATAAAACCCCGCCAGGATATCATTGCTGGAATGAAGAGACATGTACCTGAATTGCTCACAGACAAGCGGGTATTTGCAGTAGATTTGTGCAATCTAAGATGCATTCGGTCATCGGTCACTCCGTTGCATCTGCTTGGGAAAATTGAATGCCACAATGATATCAAGGTACCATGTAGACTGATGTTGTGACAAATCATGGCGTGTTTGAATTATATCAAACCTGCAGTATAATTTCCTCTTGCCATGCAGTCAATCCTGAACAAGCGCACTTTGCTACTCCAGACCCTTTTGCAAGCAAACACGCAGAGACTGCCCCCCTCGTAATCGTCGTCATTAAAATAAATGGTGACTGAGCAACAAAAAGCCTTGAGATCATAAAGAGGGAATTATAGTTTGTGACGTATCTTGACCTTCCCAAAACGGATTTGTATGCATGCGTGGCATTCAGGTACGAAACAAGCAAGTGGTCGGGGCAGACGTTCCCTGACAAACGCGCCCATGGGGTGTTTCCCCCCCGGTCCCGATTGCAGATTCGATCTTATCAATCAAACGAGACGAGAGCTCGCGTACCTGAATTTGTTCGTCTCATTGTATCTCGCGATATTGAGTGCATCGGACACCACCACCAAGTTTGGACGACGTCATGTCCAGGGTTGCCATTGCGGTGGGTGGGTGGAAGCCTAGGAACGCAGCGAGCTTCTCGAAATATTCTAGAACAACAGGAGAATTGTTTTTCTCCTGCAGGTCAGTTTGAGGTGCCGGGAAAGATGTTATAGTCCGATCCTGTATGCGTCATTGTCATGTTGAATACTGCGCAAAGTCGCTCCATGTTATGACCATGGTAGACAGATTAGGGCAAGAATCCGGCCGTCCTCTTGCCGCTCGGGCTGTAGTTCTGGGATTTGTTCAGAGGCACCTACGAATGTTTGGAAAATTCCATACAGTCACAGCGCCTCGAGGCCAGATAGACATTCTTTCAGTTCAACGATTGCGTACAGAGTGCAGTCAGTCACACGTGCCAAGAGCCAGGGGAATAATTGCTGCATTATGATCTGAGGGCACGGACGATTCCGATACAACCTGGCTTGCATTTTTTCGGCTTGGGTGAGCGAGGGGTGTGCTGCTCGTACCTTTGGCCAGCAATGAGAGGACCAGATTGCTGATGAATGATAAATCATGACGTGCGTATCATTTGTTCAGTCATATTAGAGTGCGACTACAAAGAGCATACTTTCAACTAATGCGCTCTGTGCCATGACCTTGAGAAGTTGAGCATAGATGGCTGACTGATGGTCATTCCCATCGCGAATCAGAATTCCGCGTGCCCCGCGATGATGACCACTGGGCAGAGGCCGGCCCAGGGACCGACAGATCCCGAAAAACGCTAGAAGCCTTCTCGAAGGAGGGCGCATGGGCCGGTTTCGTAGACGTGCAGCGTTACGCCCGGGAAGGGCACTTGGGGGGCAGGGAAGTCTGCTCAACCTCAGCCAGCCGGGGGCCCCCTTCGCCGCTGGCTTTGCTCTGTTCGGCTAAGGGTTCGCCAGCGAGCTGGACCTCGTCAGGGGTGTTCCCTTTGAGCACGCGAAGAGTGTCAGGTGCCGGTATCAGATAATCAAGAACAGCCACGGTCCGGTCGGGCTAGTGAAACACGCATAATGCAGATTCTTGCTTTGTTGACGTGACAAAAGACCGCGTCTGTAATTCGAGGCGACGAGAGAATTTGACAGATGATGTGCTGGGAAAAGAAGTTGATATTCTGATGACGGTTTGCGCCGACTCTCAACTGCCGTCCCGTCTTTTCTGGGTTGCAGTTCCCTTGCTGACAGGCCCGAGACAAATTTTTCTTTTCTGGCCACCTCGCACGACATTACATTTGCAACGTGCCATAAGTTCTCAACCATTGCTACATACTTGAAAATAGCAAGAGACGTAAGAGCAGGGCATGTTGGAATTGATCCTTTCGCCGCCTCGAATTGTCCAGACAGCCTCACGTTTCTCTCTGCGGCTGCTGCGCCATCCTTTGCTTTGGTGAATTGCTACTGTGATCAGGAACAGGTCGCGTTCCTCGGCCACTCGCTTCCACGAACCCAAGAAAGGGTTTAAAAAAAAAAAAAAAAAAAAAAAAGACGCGGCGTAATCAAGCGCGCTTTGTTTTCAGTTAACATATTCAAACGTAAAAGGCCCGCCAGACCGTAGATAGGAATCTGATCACTGACCGCTTCTTCCCTTGACCTGGCAAGAACTCCACTGGGACACTCGAACAACTCAGCTAGAGCATTCATTTCGCAAATCAACCTTGAAGCCTTGCCTGGGGTGGCGTCTTGTAGTGACGATTACTAGCAATAGATGTCACGAGTCACGCTGAACCGTCCGGATGCACTATGCCTTCCAGCCCTTCTTCTTCCGCAAAGTACGTATTCCGTAATAGGCTGTGGCGTTTCTGTGATGTGCCTATGATGCCCGTATATAGTCAAGTACGCGAGAGAAGAATTCATGTACGTACTCCTGTACATAGTGTATGCAGTCCATTCCAATAGATGGGGGTCAGGGAGCCAGGCAGGCAAGCCAGGGGATTGATGTGGAAAAGCGTACTGCGGGTCATGACAAACCTTCCTATGCCGCTTCATGTTGTGTTTTCTTCTTTGTCGCTGACGAAAGAGCGCCTTGAGTTTTGATTTGATGTTGTGTTACTCGAACCCACAAGCCACCGCCTTTCAGATGTCATCGGCCGGAAGTAGGGGAGTGAGAAAGCGCAAGAGAATGACAGAGACTTCTTGCTCACATATGCACACGCACACGCAGACGGTAGTGTACACTACTGTGTACATTATGTACACTGCAAGGCCCCCTCCCTCCTCCCCTGGGCCCTGACTTTCTAGGTGACCTGGCGAGCCTGGAATCTTGCATATCGACCCCGACGGCTCGGTGCGGGCGCCTATTCCTTCTGGAAGGCTTCTGGATCTGGGAAATCAATCTGTAAATCTGTAACCCAGAGCCAGCCCGTCTGCATTTGTCGACATCATGGCTTCCCATGTCTACGATCGCCCATATGGCATGCCAAAAACTCGCCGAAACAAGAGGCACGTGAACCGTCGGTCATATCCTTAAGCATCCACACTTGACGGCATGTCAGTCAAAACGATTTCCGCAAGGACCAAGGTCCCATCTCACCCTCGTACCCTCGCGCGCGACCATTGGGCGATCTACCACCTAGACAATAAGGCTCGTCGCAGCGGCCCCTCGCGACTAGAGTCTAGGGCTGGTGGGTGTGCCAGCTAGAAGCCCGCAATTTTGGGATAGCCAAAGACCAGTCGGTGCTCCGTGCTGAAGCTCTGGAAAGCTTTCCCGTTCGTTGGCACGACATGCTACCAGACGGGAGTCCTTGCAGACTCGTCCGAGCTTCTGCTGTTACTACCTCGAGGGTATGGCCTGGTACGGCGGTAGGGTACGCGGGCCACCTGTCTGTCTGTCTTGTTCATGTAGTGGCGTCTGTTTCTTCATTGTTACCTGTGGTCGATGTTCTGGGGAAGAAAATCGTCACAACCTGGAACCTGGGGAAAATGAAGAGTTTCGAATGTGTACCGCCAAAATTGAGGCAGCTTGAAGGAACTTCCACTCACCCCCATTCTTGTTCCTCAATCCAAACAGATACATTAAGAAGTCGCTTTTGGTCGAATCGTTGGTCCACCCACACTTACCACACGAGACCACGACGACGTCCACGGCGGAAGATTCCCCATCTCCTGCACTGATAGTATTGGTGGTAGAAAGTCCTTTGATGCATGTGCAGCGACACAGGTCCCGCTTTTTGACCTTGCATCCTCCTCCTGCAGGGTGTCTTGTTACCGGGCCGCGGGGGACCAACAAGGAGGGAGAGGAGGGGGGAAAAATTCAAAGAGGAAAAAAAAAAAAAAAAAAAAAAAACCAAGCCCACGACGGCTATCAGTGCCTGCCAACCATGCCTAGCAATCACTGGCAAAGCCAAACAGCCACAATTTCCTACTATGGCAATGCCCTATGCGTATACTTTTAAAGTAGTATTCTGCCACTCTCAACGGCTTACCTATGCACTCGTAGTAGCAGGATTTCAGGCCTCTCGCACAAATTGAAAGATAAGATGATTCAGCTTTGATTCTCGTGCTGACCATGAAGAAAAGTCCCCGGGACTAGCACCTCAACAAGAAAACGGGGGTGACAAGAGAAAGGAAGACTCACTCCGCATCCGCCCATACTATCTATCGACAGGTACCACCCAAGACCGTTCTGTTACCCACCTTCTTGGAGACAGAACAGACACACGGACAACGGCACCCCTAACCAAGCTGCAGTAGGTAACGCACACAGACTGTACCTTGGCCAGTCAGTTTTCCCCCCCCCCATCGCCTACTAGCTACCTACCCTTTCACATACCTTGTCTGGTCCCCCAATTGAAGTCCCCTGCCTGTCCTTCTTTTTTGTCTAAAACAAATCCATCACACAATTGTACTATTCTATCCCACCACCCAGGCCCATTTCAACTTGTCAACACAATCTTTTTGTTTCCTAATCCTCTGTCTCGTGAGTAGACTTGGTCACAATTTTCTGGCTGCTTCTTTTGCTCTTTGCTAGTTGCATCTTGTGTTCTGCCTTGGCTATTGCTGCTTTAGAGCTTTGTTTGTAATTACATGTTACAGCTACATCCCATTAGCTACATCATACCTACATTATTACAGTACCTACCTACTGGCTCCCTAAGATAGTAGGTACTACCCTCCTCTTGCAACGCGCTCTTCTCCTCTTCCCGCACTATTTTCTTCTTGCTTTTCTCCCATCCTTCTCCCGCCTCACCAACTTGTCAAATACCGTGTCTGTCAGTCAGCAGAAAGAAAGAAAAAAAGTAAAAAAAGCAGCTTGCGGCTCTTCAGCTTGGCGTGCTTACAGTGGCCCGGCACACCCGACTGCAAGTACAGTCTCGTCTGTGAAACCGTGAGCACGCAGCCTGTCTCCACCGCTATTTCAGCATATCCGGTAGCTCAGCCACCACTTGCTTCTATACCTGGCCACGAGTTTCATTGGGGAAACCCCTTCGATCCCGCGATCTGCTCTTGTTAGCGTGTGAAGAATAGGATTGGAAGCTGACCGAGTCTCTCCCTGTGCGTCTTTAGGCTTGCACAGTCCAAGAATTATTACCTCTTCAAAAAAAGAGAAAAATATACGAAATACTATCGCGAGCTCTTCGCTAGCAACCATCGCGACTCACTTTGACCACTGCCCCGCGGATTAGCTGCTGCTGCGACTAGAATACACTTCAACGCCCACAGCACAGCGGGAGCTACAGCCACCAACCGAGCTACGAAAGTAACGCGACCCCTCCGCCGCAACTGCTGAATTGAATCATCACGCAGCAGTGCTCGCTCGACCTGCATTCGATCGCATTGCCATTGTACCTCACCTCGCTGGTCGTATTCGTCTTCTTCATACCCAACTATATGTTTTCTTGACGCAACAAGAGAGATAAAATCAAATTGCCTGTTCAGTTGTGGTTCGTCGAGACCGATCGGCTATAGCATGCAGCACTCTCTGCCAAACGCTTTGCCCGACCGAACTTGCTGCTCAAACTGCTAGAACGGACGACCTTACTGGAGGGATTGGAACCCTCGGGAGTTTATGTGCTGCTGAGGCGAGGGTTGGGAACATAACACAAGTGCTTCTTTGGCTTGTCCGGCCTGGGCAGACAGTCGTAAATCATGATTCGAAGCAGGAGCCCGCGCTCTCCGCCTGCAGCCTACAGGGCCCTGGCGCATCATCCAGCCGCTGGTCAGATGCTGGACTCTGTATCGCTCATTCGATCTTTCAATGTGGAAACCAATCCAACCAGGCCAATGCGGCCGTCTCCATTGAACGCGTCGCCAATTCCAGATATGCCACTGGACCTACTGGACCGTATGAGATCCTTTCCCCTCTTCATGTCTGCGCCCGAAGATTTTCTGGTGGCTATAGGAAAGCACCTCAGACCCCAGATTCACGCCGCACATGATCATGTGCTGAGAGAAGGAGATCCCGCAAAAGCCATGTACTGGTTAGTCCGCGGCGTGGTGGCTGTCACTTCTCGAGATGGCGAGGCTGTCTATGCTGAGCTTAAACCCGGGTCGTTCTTTGGCGAGATTGGTGTGCTGATGGACATGCCACGTACTGCAACCATTGTGGCTCGATCCAAATGTCTTCTGCTTGTGCTCAAGAAAGAGGACCTTCAGCAGGAGCTCCCAGGATTTCCCGACATGGAAAAGGCCATCCGCCATGAGGCCCACGAGAGGTTGACCATCCTCAATAAGAAGCGCCAGGAGAGTGGTAGTAAGAAAAAGTCGGCTTACAAGTTGGCACGGGAGGCCGCGCCAGGAGAAGTCTCCACGGGAGACGAGGGTGTCATCAAGGAGGGCAGTGTGGTCAATCACAAGAAGAGGAAATCACCAAGCCCTGGCGTCATTGAAGACCCATCTGGTGGAAGTGCCATTGGTAGCGGCACCGTCAATGTTCGGCAAACGCTGAGAGAACTGCCACTTTTCGCAACCCTTCCGCCAGACATTCTTCACTTCCTTGGAATGAGCGCCCAGCCGAAAACATATCCACCATTCACTGATATAGTACAGCAAGGCGCTCCAGGGGTAGAAATCTATTTCATTGTGCGTGGCGAGGCCGAGGTCATACATGCGCCTTTGAAGGATCAGATATCCGCTGGACGCTTGAAACGGTCGTCATATGTGCGACCTAGGCTCCGAGCAGGGCAATATTTTGGTGAAGTCGCCAGTCTCGGGCTTTCACGTGAGCGTACAGCAACGGTCAGGTCCATCACCACTGTTGAATGTCTCATGATTGGTGCAGACGCGCTTGAAGAGCTGTGGCGAAAATGCCCAGCAGACATAAAGAAACAGGTCGAAGAGACGGCCAAGACACGGATTCAACCCGCCGATGAGGATACGGAAATGTCGGATGCTTCTGACAGGTCGGAGCCATCAACACCTGTCAGGACTGCCCCGAATATGATTTTCACGACACCTTCGAAACCCTCATCTCCTTCCAAGGATGATCTCGATATTATCAAGCCAAAGGACCCAGACCCCTATCTCAGCGTCGACATGGAAAACATTCGTAATCGACGTCGTGGTTCACTCGCACCGCCGACACCTCCAGCAGACTCTCCAAGCACGCCAAAGGCAAATGGCGTGCGGCAGCGTATTGTTGAATTGGCTACTCCTGTCAAGTTCGCATTCTCCTCCTTCTCCCCTGATTCCGAAGGTCCTTCTAAAAAGGCTAGAATCTCATCCATACGATCTGCCCAAAACGATGGAGTGTTGCCTGACGATCTTCTTGTTGCCACATGGCAATGGCTTGACATTGTCGAGCTTCTTCGGCTTCGACAAGTTTCGTCGCACTGGCGACGACTGTTGGCAACGTCTCCTAAACTATGTCGCGACGTCGATTTGAGGCCCTATAACCGACGGTTGACAGACAGTGTGCTCATCAATATAATAGCGCCATTTGTTGGCCCACGCCCCCATTCGGTTGACGTGAGCAACTGCTTCCACGTTACTGACGAAGGTTTCTCTACGCTATGGAAGGTCTGCGGCAAGAATGTCAAGATATGGAAGATGAGGTCGGTATGGGATGTTTCTGCCAATCAAATCCTAGACATGAGCGAACACGCAAAAGGTCTTGAAGAGGTTGATTGGAGTAACTGCCGAAAGGTTGGAGATAACCTCCTAGCACGTGTGGTTGGCTGGGTCGTTCCAGAACAGGCACCGCAAGGACGACAACAGGTGGTCATCTCAAGCTCAAGGAGGGGCCAGAAGCCACAGACACAGACCATCACCTTGCCACCCGCTGGCACCGTCATTGGATGCCCGAAACTCAAGCGACTGAATTTGTCTTACTGCAAACATATCACCGATCGCTCAATGGCACATATGGCTGCCCACGCCTCCAACCGCATTCAGTCACTCTCACTGACCCGATGTACCTCTATTACTGACGCAGGCTTCCAATCTTGGACACCTTTTCGCTTCACCAATCTCACGCATCTCTGCCTAGCCGATTGTACTTATCTCTCCGATAACGCCATTGTAGCTTTGGCAAACTCGGCTAAATCGCTGACGCATCTCGACCTTTCATTCTGCTGTGCCCTGTCTGATACAGCAACGGAGGTTGTGGCACTGGGACTGCCAATGTTGAAAGAGCTTAAGATGGCTTTTTGCGGCAGCGCTGTCAGTGACAACAGTCTTGCCTGCATCGCTCTGCACCTGAACGATCTTGAGCGCCTGAGCGTGAGAGGCTGTGTGCGCGTGACTGCAGTCGGTGCCGAGAGTGTGCTCGACGGTTGTTCACGCCTTACCTGGTTAGATGTGAGCCAGTGTCGGAATCTCGAGAACTGGGTCAACGGAGGTGGCGTCGGCAGATGGGGCTACGACGAGCGCGCATGCCGTGGCAAGGAGCCGCAGAGCATCAGCGAGATGGAAAGGGACTGGGTAGCACAAAGCCCACCCATGATGAAACGAATGAGCCTCATCCCGCCTAGAAATCTAGGAGGAGGTTTCCGCAACGGCCGGGCTAGAAAGCCGGTCACCTTTGTTGTTGAAAAGGGGCCGGGCGAGCTGCGGTGATGATGCCTAGCAGCATCTCTAGGGCCATCTTGACAAGGCGACGTAATTCACTCCTTACACATCGAGGTCTGTCTTGATATGGACAGGACCAAAAACAATAATTTCATGGGAAAAAGCAACGAAGAAAATGCCCTCGTTTGCACTTACATAGAATCGGAGTTTATTGGATGGTATGTTTAGCATTTCCGTTGGGGCGGGAACCCTGTACAAGATCAATGTTGGATACCCAAGGTTATTGTATCACTTCGGTGCCAAGTGTTTGACTGTTGGGAGGCGAATAGCATAGATTACAAGCACAATCATACATACTTAGCCATTGTACATATCAATGCATACCCAAAGTCTCTGCTGCACCGGGTGGACTTTTCTACGGCGACTGCACCGTCTTCGATGCGCCGTTGGCCGGCCCGCACATGACGTGGATGTGATTTGATAAGCCAGTGGATCGGAGGGTCAAGCTCAAGATCGGATCCCCGTAGCCGTGTCAATCGGGTCCTGCCGAAGCCGGGCCTATCCAGGGCAATTAGTAGTATTTATGCAAATGCCGAGGGCCTTCTGTTGTTTTCCATCGTGTAATGACATCAATGAGACGAAAAAATCTTCTGAAAATAGGAGACTACATAACAGACCACCTGAATTGCACCGAGTGTCCATCCCAATCGTGATCAAGGGCCAAGGCGGAGCTACTTTTCAAAGTCACATATAAACACCAGACAGTCAATATCTGAACACTCCATCAACATGAAGCAGTGGATCACAAACCAGGATGGGCTCGAGAACATCAAGCTGGTGGATGCTCCTGCCCCCGACGCTGCTGGGCTGAAGGAAGGAGAGGTTCTGGTCAAAGTGAACCGCGTCTCGCTAAACTACCGCGACACCGAAGGTCAGTTGCATTTATACGATGCCGTCTCCGAAAACCATAATCCAACTAAATGCTAATCCAAACATGACAGTCGTAATGGGCCTATACGGGCACCATGACTCCATGAAGCAGGGGGCCAGTGCATTGGTGCCTTGCTCCGACATTTGCGGTACTGTCGTAAAGGTTGGTGCAGGCGTGACGACACTGAAGGAGGGAGAGAGAGTCATGGCGACTTTCAACCAGACACACGTCAAGGGCCAGATCCAAGAAAAAGACATGGGGTCTGGTCTTGGCCTCCCAAACCCGGGCTGTCTGACCGAATACCGCGTATTCCCGGACTATGGTCTCGTCGTGGTACCCGGCTATATGTCGGATGAGGAGGCCGCCACCCTGCCCATTGCTGCCGTCACGGCGTGGATGAGCATCAATGGCTTTCAGCCAGTCGGCCAGGCGCTGACCGGGAGCGACAAGGTCGTCCTCCTCCAGGGCACGGGCGGCGTCTCCGTCTCGGGCCTGCAGATCGCCAAGGCGCTCGGCTTGACCGTCATTGTGACGTCGTCGTCGGACGACAAGCTGGCGCGTGCCCGAGCCATGGGCGCAGACCATACCATCAACTACCGGACGACGCCAGAGTGGCAAAAGACGGTGCTGGAGATCACAGGCGGCAAGGGCGCCGACGTGGTGCTCGAGACGGGCGGCGCGGAAACGCTGGCCAAGTCGTTTGAGTGTGTCGCCTTTGGCGGGCTCATTAGCTGCATCGGCTACCTGTCGGGCAAGGAGGATGCCCCGGGCAGCCGCATGAACACCAACTTGTTGGCGCTCAAGCGCAATGTCACACTCAAGGGCATCCTCAACGGGCCCAAGGACCGCTTCGAGGAGATGCTCGGCGTGTATGAAAAGGCACAGATTCACCCCGTGGTCGACAGGACGTTTGAGTTTGTCGAGGCTAAAGAGGCGTTCCAGTATCTCTATGGTGGTAAGCACTTTGGAAAGGTCGTCATCAAGGTGGCGTAAGCTTGAAGCTGGGCGGACTATGTCAATGAAGTAATATACACGATTCCCACGTATAGTTCCGATATTGTGTTACCTGGCATTATCACTTCGTACTCTTGATGGCGCTGCCAATGTTATGCTTCATCTACGACAACAGCCATCTTTGCACCTCCACCCCCAGCTTCCAGAATCTCGTGAACTTTCTGGATCTCATCTAGCTGGAATGTTTTCACTGGGATCTTCACCCGACCCGCTTCAACATCTCTAATTAGCGCCTCGAAAGGCATCATCATGAAATCCTCGGGACCGCCACCATATACGCACAACCTGGCACGGTTGGGAAGGTCCATGAACAGGTCCAGGTCATCGACTATCCACTCGCCGCTCTGCATTCCAGACACACAGACAGTTCCCTTGGGAACTACGCATTTAAGGGAATCCCGCACGGTGGTGGCACCGACAAGTTCGAGCACGACGTTAAAGGGCCCCTTGCTACCAGAACTCATAAGGATCTGGTCCGCAATCTTGCCGTCATCAATGAGAACCTCGTCGGCGCCGGCATCGCGCAGCATCTGCTCGCGGTCAAGGGAACGCGTGGTCGCCGCGATGCGGGATGCGCCCAGCCGCCGGGCCAGTTGAATGGCGCAGAGACCGATGGAGCTGGTGGCGCCCCGGATCAGCAGACTCTGGCCGGCCTTGAGGTCCAGACCCTGTACCAGCGAGCCCCAGGTCGTCTGGAGCATCTCTGGCAGGGCCGCGAGAACGCTGATGGGAAGGTTGGTGGGCGGGACTAGAATAGATCTTTAGAACAAAATTTCCTCTACATGATTGGGAAAAGATGCAGAGTTGTGACTGGCTTACTCGGTCGCATATTTGCTTCTGCCACGCAGGTATATTGGGCGTAGGAGCCGGGGATCTGACGGCCGAGACCACCCATACATGTAGCTAGCGGTCTTTGATTAGTATCCTTACCCGTGGCACATGAGATATCTCGAGGGTGAACCTACCGACCCGAGTCCCGAGTGGATATTTGATGGTTCTCTGGGAAGCCGTATCGTGATAGGCGACAACCGTGCCGATGCACTCGATGCCCAGGATCCGGGGAAACGTCACACCTGGAGAATGACCCTGACGAGTGTACATCTCTACGAAAGACGCATGATTAATCGGGATTTCCTCACTACTCAAGATGAAAACTATGTTTACCGGCACGGTTTATGCCAAACCCCAGGACCTGGAGAAGGACCTGACCCTCTCCTGGGCTGGGGATGGGTATATCTCGAAGATGAAGGACATTGACGGGACCGGTCTTGTCGCACACAACGGCGCGCATTGTCTGAGACTGTCTAGCAGTCGCTTGCGAAGCCATGATGGAAATGTTTCTACATAGAGGTCGTAGACTTGATGGAAGCATGCCAAAAATATCAAATTGATTATTGTCTCTGTCTATCTCATGTCTTCCCCTTGGTGGCAAAAGAAGTGCACTGGTTCCTTGCCCATTCTCGCCTGTATATGTTTTGCCCCGCGCATGCCATCGGAGCTGAGGCCAAAGCTGCACAATTCCGAAAGTATATGTATGGAATCCGATACAACGGCAAAACTTAAAAGATTGAAATGGACAGGAACCCGTTTGTGTAAGATTCCCTTCCCCCCCTTTTTGGAGAGAGAAAACATTGACTTTTTGCTGCAAGTCGATTCGTCGTCCTCTTTCCATTTCCAGATTTCGGATCACAACGGAACGAGCATTAATGACTAGTGTCCCGTGCCCCAGCTCCGGGGGTGGGACACACACGTTTGGCGCGCATTGAATACAAGCAAGCACTAGCGGCTGCGAGGTGACTTGTTTACAAATCCATCAATCGGCATAGCCAGTTGGCCGGATGAGTCGGACTTTACTCCAGGAGATTGTCGCTCTGCTAAACTACCCGTGAACGGTGCCGACCTGCGCCGTTGAAGGACTAGAAAAGAGACGGGCTGGCGATAAAGTGTTGTGAGTCAGCCGGATGCTACCGTTTAGTGGTAGGGAAGTACTGTGTAAGTAGTAGTGATGATGGCGAGGGAGTAGGTCGCAATTGGGATCCGTGACAACGCAGCAGATCAACTGATCAAGAGTTGGTCTGCAATGTAATTCCAACAAGTGGTGATTTACCCCTTGAGTGACTTATCAGACACTCATTTCCAGTAAACATTTATGGCTCATTCCTGGCAATACATTGTTGTACATATGGGGAGAGGCTTGGGGGGCGGCTGTTCATTGACCGGTAGGCGAAACTGCCTAAGCAGATAGATGTGCACCAACCCACATCTAATGCACTACGTAATGCAGTTGGCAGCGAATCTGAGCTGCGCCTACCTTAATATTTTAGCTTGTGCAATGCGCGAAAGCCGGGTATAACAACGGGAAGTGATGACTTTATCCCCCTACCAGCTACCTACCCAGCCCTATCGGAAGCAATCGCCAAGCGCTACCCTTGTCAGTCAGAAGGAACAAGCCTCGATCGAGTAGAGAGCCTCATCGAAGTCGAACTGAGACCTAGAAACAGACGGTATCAGTTAGATTTGCATCAAGCATGATGTTTTCCCTTTGACGAGTAAGTGGAAACAATCACAAGATATAGGAGAACGCCAAGTAGATTCTAGAAGCGACTTGGGTTTCGAGGTATCCGTCTTTACAATGGGGAAAGGTCACCGGGATTCGATTGCTTGAAATGTCAATAGCCAAAAAGAAGAAAAAAGAAAAAAGAAAATCCCGGAATTGGGAACGGGTTTCAAAAAGAGCTTGCCCCTGGTTGGTGGGATGCGAGTCCAGTAACCTTGCAGAACCGATGACGGCGTCCCCATTAGTACCTATACAGCCAATAGCCACATGCACAACTGATGGGAAAAAAACAAAGGTCAAAGGGAAGGAAGGGGGTTCGTTCCAGAGGCCAGCCCAAGGGGATTGATTCGATTGATCTTCACCAAGGCCTTTTCCACCATCCTTGAAAAAGAAGGTCTTAGCCTCCCCGCGGGCGACTGCCGGGCTTGACTCAAAAGCCATGCGAACCGGCAGCTCTGCCGGGAGGTCACAGGTTATGACAAGTTCGTAAGCTCTGGCTCTGGCTCTGGCTCTGGCTCTGGCTCTGGCTCCTAGAACCGGGCTCCTGGCTCTCATGACAACGATATAGGTGCGACCTTTTCTGCAAGCGTCTTTGTCTCTGTTATGTATCATCTCTAACAGTACCTTGTAGGTTAGGTAGCTTTTGTGTGAATACTTGGGTTCCATTGGTAATGTAAGTACCTAGGTAGGTGCCATCCATGACCAGGGGGGTCTGGTCCCTCTGGTTGCTTGCTATCCCAAGGTGTGTACTGGGCGATAGGTAGCGCCTTTTTCGTCCTATCTGCAGCAATTTCTCTTGGCTATCAACGGCTACTTTTTTCTTCTCCAAAACTCTAACTTCTCGAGATCGACGTCACGTCTTCTAGCATTGGACCCGTTGTCGATTACTTCATTTCCTCCTTTTCATGAGAGCAGAAGAAACAGAAGAAAATAACATTATCTTCTGCGGCATTTAACGGTTTTCCTCGTGGGCGACATCTTGAACATAAATGTGACCCGAGGCTGCATCCATCCAAGCGCCAAATTTTACGGAGTCTTTTTCAGGATCGCTAAAGGCTCCAAAAAGAGAGACAGGATAGGACAGGCTCCAGAGCGTGCCCCCCAGTCTATTTCAGTACCTTATTAGTGCGTTAGCACGGCAGCGCTTCCTTCTGTTCCACCTCAAGCTCCGGCTCAGCTCAGCGCAAAGCTTCCAAATTTATTTCCTGCTACTAATACTTGCACAACGCAGCCACTTACTACATACTCCGTCTTTGTCGGAAAACTCCCACCCAAGTTTCCTCGCGCCGCATGGCTACCGAGTCTCCTCACGACGGTTCTAGTCCGATGGAGGCTTCTCCCGACTACGAGCCTGACCCCAATCATGACTCCTCCAACACGCCCGCCAATTCCACCCCTCGCGATGCTCCCGGCGCTGCCATTGCGGGGTCCATGCCCGGTATCAGCCACTCGGCCTCGGGCGCCACGGTCATTGATCCCAGCGTTGAGCCCTCTTCGACCCTGAACCCGAGGTCCTGTGTTACCTGCAGACGGAGGAAGGTTCGCTGTGATAAGCATATGCCCTGTGGAAACTGCCGCAAAGCCCGCATCTCCTGCATCTTTCCAGCGCCCGGCAGGGCCCCACGCCGCCCGCGACCCAGGGACCCCAATGCACCGCCAAAGCAGACGAGTGAGCGAGAGGTTGAGTTGGTCAAGCGTCTGAGAAAGCTCGAGGGTATAGTGGAGGAGCTGAGCGGGCAGATTGAGGTTGAGGCGCGACACCCTTCCAGCGCTGGCGAGTCTCCCGAGGAATCTGGTCATGATGCGGAACGGAGACGCCAGGACTCTGGCGGCGTTTTATCTCCACATTCTCTTCAATTGTCGGGATACCCAACAGTATCTGCGGCTCCCGGCCGTCTTATAACGTCGGGCAATTCCAGCTGGGGACCGTTGCAGAGCCCAACCATGGGCGTTAACAAGCACTTTGGCCGGCTTGTCTTGAATGACAAGGGCAAGACTCGCTATGTCAGCAATGCTTTCTGGTCAAAAATGAACGACGAGGTGAGTAGCGCAGTCGTAAGATCATGCGGCATATGCTGACAACGGCTTGACAGCTTGCGCAGCTGAGAGCCGAGACCCAAAAACTAACCGACGAGGAAACTCTCAACTCTGAAGACGACGGCAGCACCCCTGATGTAGACCACCCACAGAATGAGCTCTTGACCGACCACCACGCTTTTGTACTTGGCTACAGGTCGTCTGATGTTGACTTGCGCAAATTGCATCCCCTGCCGTCCCAGATTCCCTTTATTTGGCAGGTTTATGTCGAGAATGTGGATCCATTGGTAAAAATACTTCATGTTCCTACAATGAACCCAATCATCAGAAAAATACGAAGTGACATGGACAACCTACCGGCTGGGTTAGAGGCTTTGATGTTCTCTATATACTATGCAGCGATTACTTCACTGGAAGATGATGAGGTAAGCTTTATACAGTTCTGTGCATGACAAGGGCAATCGCTTATCGACAATCAACAGGTCAAGACAAATTTTGGTGCGGAAAAGTCCCACCTGATAAGACAGTTTCGATACGGCACAGAACAGGCTCTCGCGAAAGCCAACTTTCTCAACACATCAGACCTTGTCGTCATCCAGGCATTTGCACTCTTTTTAGTCTTGGTCCGCCGTTATGATGACAGCCGTTTCTCATGGACCCTCACTGGTCTCCTCATTCGGATCAGCCAATCTATCGGCACACATCGAGAAGGCACGCACTTTGCCAATCTCAAGCCTTTCGAGATTGAAATGCGGCGTCGGCTTTGGTGGGCCATCTGTATTCTGGATTTGCGGTCAGCCGAGGATCAGGGGACAGAGTTGACAATTGCCGAGCACACCTTCGATACGCAATTCCCATTGAATATCAACGATAGCGACATCAGTCCCGATATGACGGACTTTCCTAAGGAACGAGTTGGGGCTACAGACATGACGTTTTCCCTGATCCGATACGAAATCTGCAGCCTCGCTCGAAGATTGCATGCTGCCAGTAATCCAATGAACCCATGCCCCAGGGACACACAGCTGTCATTGGAACAGCGCGAGCAGATGCTCCTCGAAATGTATGGAAGAGTGGAGGATCGTTATTTGAAACCTTGCAACGACCAAGATGGTGACCTACTCCACTGGGTTGCTGCTGCTATCGCACGCCTGATCATGGCCAAAATGAGTCTGATCATTTATCAACCAATCCTATTTCCCGCCAATGGAGAGGACATTTCACAAGAAGTACGCGACAGGATATTCCTCTCCTCTACCGAAGTCGTAGAATACAACCGCCTGCTCAACACGGAGCCAAAGTGCAAGCAGTATCGCTGGCTATTCCAAACCTATACCCAATGGCATGCAGTGGCCTACCTCCTGCTAGAAGTCTGTCGCCGCCCATGGTCCAGCTCAGTAGAAAGAGCCTGGCTGGCCTTGAGCAACTCCTTCAGCGACACGGACCCGGATGAATTCCAGAAGCTTGCCCAGCACAAGGGCGTATGGTTACCCCTAAAGAGACTCTTGCTCAAGGCCGGGCGCCATCGGGACGAAGAATTGGCCCGGCTGCAAGCAGATCCCGAGGTGGCCCAGCAACTTGAGGACAGTTCTTACAAGACACCATCGGCAACGTTTTCCAACCTTCCCAGTACAGTGCGAGAGACAATCGCGCAAGACCGCTGGCGTAAGTTGGTTGGTCTGCCAGTCCCAGAACGAAAACCCCATGGCTTTTGCTTCAACAAAGATGTTCCTACATCAAATACTCAAACTCAGGCACTGCCCGAGGCCCAGCAGAATGGTCAACCGCAACCCAATGCCCAGCAACCTAATTTCACGCAAACAGATCTCGATTATATAAGTGGCGTTATGACACAGCCAGAGTTTAACCCAGCTGACTTTTGGTCCGTGGCGTTTACCGAAGGCTCGGCGAATATCGCTAGGCAAGCAATATTTGGCAATGGCATACAGACAGGCACCTTGCCAACGCCTCAGCAGCCACAACCACAATCAGCGCCGTTAATGCCACCGGCGTTAACAAGCAACGGTAGCCCCATCACAAGCAAAGGTGGAATCGCGTTTCCCCGCGACAGCTCGTCTACTCCTGGCAATATGATTACACCTCAAACGGCGGGAAATACCCCAATTAATCAACCTGCTGTGCTGTCCCAGGCTACTGGCATGATTGATGACAATGCCCCACCATGGTTGTGGCCGAATGCATGGAAGTGGAATGATACTGATGCAAACAGCAACATGCTTGCTAACACACAAGACGTGGACGTCAACATGGAAGAAGACTTCAACTGGCAAGATTGGCAGCAGAGTATTCGTGGGTTTGAGCTAGATGCTGGTCTTGGGTCAGGAATGACTGGAGGCGGATTTTCAGGCGGCGTCTAGGCAGCAATCTCGTTTGTATGTTTGTGCGTGTGTATGTATGAGAGAGAGAAAGAGAGAGTCCCGGTACTTTCCTCTGTGACAGTCGTCAAGTATATACGGGGATGTGGGTCTGTTGACGGACCACTATTGGTGGTACATGACGGATGATATGATGCTTTACCTGGCGTGAGGTAGGAATGATACCCTTGTTTATTAGCTGCAGTCATATTTTTTTTTTTTAGATGGGACGGGATATTGGCTGGGATAGAGGAGTCTAAGCAGTTCTGATTGATTTTCAAGACGCGTTTGCTGGAATCCTTCTCGCACGAGCATGTCGCGTAGTCATGTGCTTGCAATCTATGGGAGGGCAGTGAGCGCTCTTTGAATTGAGCCGAAGTCCGGCATTTACTACCAGATCCTATACCCCTCGGCAAACTCGGACTTCGGGCTGGACCCACACCGCAATGGATTATATGGTGTCCCAATCTGGTAATAGGTAGTTGGCTTAGTATACAGCTTCTGAAAGTGTGTGTTGCTGGAATAATGATCTGATCAGCTCGAGATCAGAACTCGAAGATTGGCCGACTCCGTGATGTAGTGGCCCGGGGTCAAGCTCACCTGCAGTTATTTCCTGAGTTTAGTTGGTTCACTGTCAGCATGAGACAGCCATCCTAGCTCCTTTACAATGACGGACATTTGCCGTCTCATCACCGCCATAACACATCAAGTCATTACTGTGCAGTCAAGAAGTCTTTGGAATCTGGAGCCAGACAAATCGTGATTCATTGAAAAATTATAAGAGTCGGCTGTTTCCAATGTTGATTGCCAGTAAGTGAGCTTGCATTAGAACCATTTCGAGATCGCAAATTAAATCCACCTTCATATTTATTCTCTCGATTCGATATAAACCAAACATCATGGGATTCGATTATTCTTCCCTCCCAAAGGACATGCTGATCAAGTCCTGGCAATTCACCAAGACGGTCCACAGCGATGTCTACCCTTCCGTGGACCCGACCATGCCCGAGTTGAGCCTCGCGGGCAAAGTGGCCGTCATCACGGGAGCCAGCCGCGGTATTGGAGCGCGAGGTTTTGCTCCCGCCTTTGCCCGCGCCGGCGTCAAGGGCCTCGTACTCGTCGCGACCAATGCCGCAAAGCTGCAGGCCGTGGCCAGCGATGTGCACAAAATCAACCCGGCGGTCAAGGTGCTGTGTCTGACGGCCGACGTCTCGGACCAGACACAGGTCGAGGCGGCGTTTCGCGAGGCCAAGAGCACGTTTGGGGCGGCGGATATCCTCGTCAACAATGCCGGCGTGAGCCTCGAGACGCTAGGGTGTCACTGGGCCGACGAGGATCCGCGGGTCTGGTGGGATAATTTCCGCGTGAATAGTCTGGGATCGTACCTGGTTACGCGCACCTTTCTTCGCGAGTTGTTGCCCGCTCGCGATGCTCCGGCTACGGTTATTAGTCTCACTTCGGGTGCGGCGTTGAGTATTGGATCTCCCTTCGTCCATGGTTCGTATTGTATCTCCAAGCTGGCGGTACAGTCAATGGCTGTGGTAAGTCATGTTCCTCTTTTTCCTTCCTTCTTGATTTGTCCTCTCCATGTATCAAAGAGCAATTGAGCAATTGACTAATATGAATCTACAACAGCAACTGGCCGCCGAATGCCCAAACATTACCTCGGTGGCCCTCGACCCGTACCTGGTCGATACAGACATGTTGCCAGAACACTTGCGAATGTTTGACCGCGTGACGCCCGAGCTCGTTGGCGGCACCGCCGTGTGGCTGTCGCACCCGCACGCCAAGTTCCTCACCGGCCGAGCCATCATGGTCAACTGGGACGTGGATGAATTGGTGGCGAAAAGTGAGGAGATTGCCAAGGGCAAGCAACTACAGATGGAATTCGTGGGGCCCTTTGGAGCGCACCTGTTTCAGTGAGCTTTTGTAGATTGGCTTGCATGATGGGGGCTCGTTCCCCTTTTTCATTAGTGTTTGGCTATATGGGTGATAGGAAATAAGAGATGATGGGTAAAAATCGACCGTAGATACCTATAGTTAAATCTATTTGATATCTTAAATTTCTTGATGAGCATCGGAATGACACCATGGACGGAGGAATTTATTTTCCCTCAGCCCAGAAGCGATCCAGTGCCTCTTGCCTTACCTCGTAGGCCCAATGGTGACAGGTCTGGTGAACGACAGGACTGACATCGCCCTTCCCGCCGTCTACATCGTCGTCGTCGTCATCATCAAAGACGCTTCGGATACCGTTTTGGACGTACTTTTTGAGAAGTATCCGCCTCCAGCGACCAGTTTCGCCGACGCACTTTTTCCATCTGGATATTTGGCGGTCATCATCGGGACACCTGCGGCCCACTACGACTTGCGAGTTAGTGGTCGGGCCTGGATAATGCACATATATGTGCTCATATATACTAATCTTGAGGGGGGGCGAATGATGTCAGACACAAAACGCAAGATCAACTTACTCCAGAACCGGCAGTACCACTGAAACCACCCTCGTACGTCGTAGCTGTGATTAATCCACTGCAAACAATCAATATTGGTCATCATTTCTCAAGACAAGCCAAATCAAATAAAAGGGCCACCTACGCCATTGGCCTCCCACTCCTCGATGCTCTGACCACAAGCCTTTCCATACTTGTTGACGCTCTCATCGTAATCAGGACTCGTCAAGTAGCGCGCAACGTCGAGCCCCTGGATCCAAGCATCCGGGAGCTCTCGCCAGTCGTCCTCAATGGTCGTTCGTAGGTGCCGCGAGTAAAGCGGCCGCCAATACGAGCCCCCGAAGCAACCCTCGCGCATGATCTCCTCGGGCGACTTGTTGGGTGTAAAGTCGAGATGCGACTCGAACCGATACGTCCCCACCACATGGTCCCGCGTCGGCGGGGGCGCCACCGGTGTCCATGATGCCCAGCCCGCGCGGAGACTGTCCAGGTCGGGACGCACCACCTCAGTTTTATCCTCGGGCGAGTTTTTGTCGTCGGCCGTAAAGCTTGCAGCCCTCTTCTTCACCCGAGTTGCACCGTCCTTCCTTGCCGTGCTTTTACCGCGAGGCAGAGGCCGCTCCGGCTTGGCGCTTAGTGCATCCTCGTTGTAAGTCGGACGCGCCGCCGACGAGGCGATGCGCGCCGATGTGCGCACCGGTTGGCCCGTCTCAAACTTGCGTCGCTTCGCTGCCGGCCGCGTCTGCTGCTTGCCGGCGTCTTTCTGATCCAGATCATGCCGCTTGAGTGGCTCCACGTCCTGCAAGAGGGCTTGGTTTTCCTTGATGTTTGCAAGGCGCCGGTCTCCAAAGGATGTGGCCATTGAGTGTGGGATGTTCTAATATGCCGATTGAGTGAAAATGATGAGAAATCATATACTTCACGTAGTCCCTTGAAAAACAAAGTGCTGGTTGTCTTGTCGCGACTGAAGAAAAGGCAATGTTCAATTGTCTGTCTATACTGGCTCATTGTGAATACGTCATAGGCTAGCTTAGCAACGCGAACTGCCAACGCGCACGCGCACCAGTCCTTGTTCTTGTTCCCATCAATAGCCTGCTCAGCAGTTATGTTGAGCCCTTTGAGCAAGAATAGCCATGGTATACTAGGAGTAGGGCTTTTCGTCTCGCTAAAAACAAAAAATGATAAAGACATTATATCTTAACATGAAGTGACATGGAATTTTTATAGCTATTCTTCAGTGAGCCGTACTGCATTGTACATCTGCTACGTACGATATACCTAACCTAGGTATTTACTGTCAATCTTCCCGCAAATCTGAATGGCCAGCGTAGAGTCTCAGGAATTCCACACGATTATAATATTGATAGAAAAGAAGAGAATTATATATGCCAATCAATGTATATTTGAAAAGAATAAGCTATATTTTGCAGACTTGATGCGAGCACAAAATACCTGAAAACTGCCCATTGTGATTTATGGTGGATGGAATGCCTGGTCTGTGCGGCCCTTGCTTGCGCTGCCGCCTAATAACGAGAAGTCGCGACTGAGCTTCTGGGGCTAGCTCCAACTTCGAGAAAAAGAAAAGAAGAAGAGAGAAAAAAAGTCCCGAAATCCAAGTCCCCTTTTGTCTCGGCAAGACACATGCCACGAAACATCTCCTCAGTCATTTGCAATAGACTTCATTCAAAAACACATGGCAGCGTGCGACCTGAGGGCATTTCCTCCGTTGTTGTAGCGTCATCTTGTCATTAGTGCATCTCTGCCCGTCTTCCCATCTTTTCGCCCGCCCCGGCATAGGCACTCACTCATTGGGATTCTTGTGCTCGCCGCGTTTCTGAAACGAGCCGTCCGACGTTGGCTCGCGGGCCTACCCTGAGATCTGCCGTCCACTTGCTTGGGAATGATTACACGACATACCTACCATCAGCTAGATTCCTCTTTGCCGCAACGGGAAAGCCTTGGTTGCTGCAGTCGTACCCTCTTAAGGTGCCACTTCGTGGACCGCTACTTTGGAGTACATCGCCAGCTGTCCCGTCGTTCCACACGCGAAGCACAGCCAATATCGTACCGCGACGGTATTTCCTTGTAGCTTGGACTCCTCCAAGTGGTTTCTCTACTTATCGTATCCCTTTTGCCGTGCTTCTACTGGTATCCCCGGCAGCCGCGTGCCCACTCTCAGTAGACAGACCACACCATGGCCTTGAATCCTGCGAATTGGAGGCCGCTGCCGTCCTTCCAGAATGTCCCACCTCTGCTGGTCCGCCCGGTCTTCACCTTGCAGTCGTACAGTGTTCATGTCACCGACTTGGCCAACCTCTGGGTGGAAGACCTAGACCGTAAAGGCATTGGCAGGCGCAGCCTCAATGAGGATACAAGCATTGATCCGACAGAGGGCCCTGATCAGATGCGCATGCTTCTGGCCAAGATTCAAGCCGCATTGGATCCTTCAGCCCCAGACCATGACCAGACGAGCATCTCCATCGCGGCATTGCCCAAGGACGATGACATGCTCCTCGCCCTTACCATCACGTGTCAACTGCCCGATGGATTGAAGCCTCTGGTGTGGACTTTTCAAATGGCCAAATGTCCCACCACTTCAGTTGCTCCCGAGCTTGTACTGCCTTTGATGCAAAAACTACAAGTGAGGACTCAGCAAGTTGACGAGTTCGTCAACTTGCTGAAAATCAAGGACGGAATTATTGATAAGCTCATTGATAAACTCGACCATGCAGGCATGGGCCTAGAAAACGTCTGGAATGTTCTCTCGAGCAAGCGGAACCCCTCTAGAGACTATGCAGAGGCGAAAATCACAGGTCTGGCGCCCTTTCAAGAAGCCACATGGCGAGATCCGGATTCACCAAGTACGGATGAGTTCGACAGCATCCTGTCGCTCGCTACGAATGCCCATGTTGGGGCGGAAAACTCGAAAGACCCAGAGACTCGCCCGTCTGATATTCTTGGTGACTGGTGGGGGAGCTTAGGCACAAAACCTGTCAAGTCCCTCCCACGTACGACCCCAAGCAGCGGCAGCACCGTGAAAGCGGACGTGGCCCATGAGAAATCGAGGCTTGCTGCAGATTCAGACACCGACACGGATGACTTTCAGGTCCAAGCTACACCTCCTCATCTAGCCTCCGCCCAGAAACGTAACACAGAGGCAGATCTTGATGCTACGACGGATGACGACGGGGACGCCATTCCGGACAGTCATCCCGTCGTGACTCGACCGGCCAAGTCCAAATTGGGTGGTATCGGAAAAAGGCAGACTGCAGCTTCTCCTCCTGCAGCACGATCTCCACGAAAAACTACTGTTGACGCAGATGATACTGCGTCAGAATCCGAAGAGGAGCCGGCAAAAATCTCCCACTCGACAGCAAAAGACTAGTCGCCTAGGCATGATTGGGAAGAAGCCAGAACAAGAAGGCAACAAGGCAAAACCTCCACAAAAACACCACGGTGCGAATGATGATGACAACACAGCCTCAGATTCGGAACGAGAGGAGCGGGGCAAAAGTTCTTCACCGGCACCTCCACCGGCTGAATCGTCACAGAGGCGGAGAATAGGAGCAATCGGACGAATCGGCGGGATAGGCGGGATAGGCGGGCAGGCTTCCGCCCAACCCGATAGGAAATCATCGACGCCCGATCCACAGCCGACCGAGTCTGCAGGGCGAAGGATCGGTGCTATTGGAAAGAGGAAACTCGACAAGGAACCAGAGTCTGCGGCCACTAGTAAAAGTCCAGATGATTCGGAAGATGAAGAACAGCGAGCTGAGCGAAAACGAGCTGAACTGGCAAGAGAGCTCGAGCGCAAAGCCAATGCCAAGCCAACAAAGAAGAAACGGAAGTTTTGAGACACCATTACATTTGACGAATCATACACAAAGTTCGAAATGGGCCATTCACCCTTTGCAACATGAGTTCTCGTTGAAATGATGCAACACCTAGCCCACAAAGAGGCCCTATCCTTGCTTGGACCATTTCTGTATCACCTTGAATTTGTACCAGGATCTTGGAAGGCTTCCATGCCTGTTAGTTACACGCGGAAATGCATATGTGACTGAAGCGCAAATCAACGGATAAAGTCTTTTACGAAGTCATTGATCAGTTGTTGGCTCATTTGACTACGATACTTGTAGGCGGTGTGTTTTGCTCTATGATGAGGCTACAACGAGGACTGGATGCTGGAACGCATTTCCAGGCCTAGTGCGTGCAGCGGGAGCTTGCGTCTTGAGGCGGATGAAGCATGCTGTATCGCCGGGAGGGCGATTCCTTCATCCATTCAGTTTTACACTTCGCTAAAGTCGTGTGTCCGCCTTGCTGTCGCCTTTTGGGCTGGGCGACCTACGGCGGCGTCCCCCGCCAATGATCACAGCCCAAGAGCTCTGGGTCCTCGTCCTCTTGTACCGTTTCACGAGTGTTGTCACTGAATCTCTGCGACGGCTGGTCGCTTTGGGTCATGTACGATATATTGCCTGTACCATTTTTCGAGGAGGCCGGCCACCCCGACAAGACAATTTCTGACAAGACGGTACTCTGGTCAGTCTTTCGATGCCCGATGCAGCCACCCGGTCTTTTGCTGGGATATGGGCAATTCATTTTGAAGATTATAGCATGGGTAATTGACGTAACTTTGCGGTTCTCTGGTATAATCTGGAGGTCCAACATGCGATCAGAGAATCGAAGCCGCTCGCCAGCCATTGCCAGAAATAAGTATACCACAAAACGGGAAGTGTCATTTTTCTAATCTCGGAAATCTTTGGATAAATTTGCCGCGAGAGTCAGAGTTGAAATTAGAGAAATAAATGGCACATCTCATGGAAGAGACGCTCAATACTGAATGGTTGTTGGCTGGGTGTGTAACGTTTCCCAACCTCAACACAGAAATCCCAAGCCAATGTACAGAAATAAGAATGACAAAGATCAGCCGAGTCCTCTCGGCCGTGGATTTTAATAACAGCAAGACTTGAGAAATTTGAAAATAGATGATGCCCTCAAAAGGCTTAGGGACAAGGGCATTCATTGATTGGAGCCGTGTTTTCTGCTCCGATCCCGCAAGGGACATTGAGATGATCTTCAAATGCAGTCGTTGATATGCCAACAATTTCCAGAGCTGGTCGAAATTTCACATGACCATCACTGACACACACACCATGTTGGATGAGCTAGCTACTTGACACTCGAGGCAATTGCGGCGCTATCGTACACGAGACGTGATGAATCGTTTGCCTGAACTTTTATTTACGACAATTACAAGCTGCGTCGATTTAGCATTGACCGTTAGATTTGAAACAAGCAGTCGGTCGCCATCTGCTATCAACTTGAGCTGCTGTACTACTAGAACAGCTATTGCCTGCCCTTATCTTTTCATCAATTGAGCGTGTGTTAGGTGTGTCAAGAGAAGAATCCGTCAGCGCTTATTACGTGAGGTGTCTTGCACCTTCCGTGTCCCCCCACTTACAGTGGTTTCTTTTTTCTTCAAACTCTTAAGAGTGCTTAAACAACAATCAATTGCTCTCTAGGTCACCAACACAACACAACATCAATCCTCATTAGGCACACAATCGCCAGCCTCGGTGAATCATTATCTGATAGCAACCCACAGTAGACGCCAGAAAACCACCATCTCACCCCAAAACACCCACACAGGCAAGCGCGTCCCAAAAAAATGGCTGCAAACACACGCTCAGCTCAGGACGTCATTGCGGCCCTGAACCTCTCCCCGCATCCGGAAAAGGGCTATTTCATCGAGACGCACCGCGACGGCACCAACGGCACGGCCATTTACTACCTGCTGGAAAAGGACGCGGGGCGGTCGCACTGGCACAAGGTGACCAACGCGACCGAGATCTGGCACCACTACGCGGGGGCCCCACTCCGGCTCGGCCTGGCCTGGGACGACGGCGCCACGCCCGTCCGCCACGTCGTGCTCGGCCAGGACCTCTGGCGCGGCGAGCGGCCCCAGGTAGTGGTGCAGGTCGGCGAGTGGCAGTGCGCCACCACGCTGGGCGACTGGACCCTCGTGGGCTGTACCGTGTCGCCTTCCTTTAGCATGGATCACTTTGTCATGGCCGACGAGGGCTGGGAGCCCAATACCGGCGGCACCGGCAATGACGACGACGACGCAAGGGCGGGCTCAAAGTAGGAGGGGACATGTTTTGACGTACTTTTGTTCATGGACACGCAACGGCTTGTGACGGACAAGGAAGGGGAATGTTTGGAGACTTCTTTCCGCGGTTGGGGGCCACCTGAGGGGGAAATAGAGAGACAGGAGGATGCGTATCTTGTTGTTGACAAGTCTGAGCCTCCCCGATTGCAATGCGCTAGCCTAAAGATATTTCTGGGAGACGGTAAATGGCACTTTATAGAATGGAATGCGCAATACTTGACAGTCTTTTCAGAGGTATGATGAAGCCTCAAGCACACAAGCCTGGTCTACATACTCTTAACCTTCTGATGCGTAGCGTATGATAACAGGGCATTGTTCACCCTGGCTGCCTGCCTACCTATACGTTCGAATCAACGTCTCCAAGTGCGACCCAACAGATCATACGGGCAAAGTAGAATAGTCCTGTACACCCACACACTTGTCTTTTCTGGCAGGGCGTAAATTTGTGGTTGTGTTACTATGCACCGAGCAAGGTCTATGGACTCAGCGTAAGCGCGCCGCTTTTTTTTTCACAACCCGACCATGAAGTGATGTTGCATTTATTCGTTCGAGTGCCGCGAGACGGAGGGGGTAGGGTAAATGGGCAGACTGCCGGTGTGAATTGTTGGGTCTGGGATCTGCAGTTGAAAGAGACTGGATTTGTCAGAGGAATATGATACGGATCATCCTGAAGCTCCAACTTGACGTTGTGGACACGGTTCAAATCCCGTTGTGCGGGAAATTGACATAGTGTGCCTCCTGAAGTCTTTTTTTTTTTTTTTTTCATTAGATAAAGATGTACTTGGGGTCATATTAACTAATCGCAAGGAACATCAGGTCAAGAGTCGCACTTTGTGCACAAGTTCACATTTGATGTTCATCACATTGCCACTGATTCATTACCAACAGCCTTCAAGTGCCAGATACTGGACGTATTGTACCTATTCGGATTGGTACTGAGCAGAAGCGAGTATCAAGGGTTCGTCTCATGTGACCTAACAAGCCTGCGCCCAGTACAGGGAATATTGCAACCCTGATCGCTGTCCGCAACACGCACCAAATTTACGCGATATTGTCATCACAGGTACCAAAATGGGCCAGGAATGGCCGCTGAAACGGGCCAACAGCTATCATACCTCAAAATCACACCTACGAGGGCTGATCAAGGATCGATCTTGGAAGTTACAAGATAGATGAAAACGCGGGCTCAGCAAGGCTCATGAGGAACTTTGGAACCCCTTCGTTGGAAACTTGCTACCAAAGGAGGGAGGACCAACAGCGAATCACAATGCCAGGACACCATCCGGCTTCGCACACCCATGCGAACTTTGTTACTTTCCACACAAGTACACAAAGTGCCGAACCCCCCAGGCGATCAAGTAAGACGGTCCGGTATGGCCCGGAGAGCATCATCTTAGAAAGGTTCATAGGGGTCCTTTAGGTTCAATGCTGCATCATACAGAATACTTGCCTACCCATTAGGGGGTTAGGGGATGTTGGAGGGCTAATTACGCCGCATCAATGCATGGAAAAGCTTCTTCGGGGCTCAGATAGATACAATATTGTAAGTACTTGGTCTGGTGGACAGCCAAGTTTCTGGAGTGGAAGCACGTTCAAGGGCACAATTCCAAATACTACTACTTTCCCCCCTTGTCTTCCATTCCACTGTACGTACGTATGCCCGGACGAAGCAAATGATGGACGTTCGAGGATCGCTAGGATTCTTGTCAAGCTCCTATGAGGATCGCTACTGCATTTGTTACTATGGCTAGGAAATAATCGAGGAAATATCTCCACTTTCAAGGTTGGTCGTTGAGTAGGATCAAACTGCGCACCCGATGGACAAAGGACTCGTCATCGGCCCGTGATGGGCAGCCCAACATGGCGGCTAGTTTCTCTCACTGGCGGTTCCCGAGGTCTGCCCATCATGAATCAATGCGGAAAGGCATCATATGCACGTCTACGCATCTGTAAGAAAAAAAAAAAAAAAAGAAGCAAATGTACAATACACGTGGGTGTATAGGAGAGAGGATAGTTCACCGCTCTCTCTCCCTTTGCCCCGGACCACATCCACGGACCACAATAGGTTCGGATGTCGTACCACCACCACCACCACCACCACCACCATCGTCATCGTCATCATTCTTCCTTGCTCACTGCATTGCCGCGCATGAGAAAAGAAAGAGATACAAAGAAAAAAGAAATTGGCGATGCGATCCTACCACACCCAACTGCATCATGCAAGGCTAGATCTGCACGCGGCTTCCGCACATTTTTGGCTTTGGGGGAGACACACCAAAGCTGAGGGAGGGATTCGTGCTTTTTCCCATTGCCGGGGTCAACCCTGTGTATTTTCGCTCTCCTTCATCTACCTTTTTAATGCTTGTTATTCGGAATTCGGCATTGAAAACTGCGCCTTTTCGGAGTTGAAAAGACATGTCTTGCTCATCTGTCCATTGTAGTTTTGTAGTGTTGCATCTCTTGTACAGGGATGATGACTGGATGTTGGTAGTTTTAACCAATGTACACAGTAGCTCTGCAAGGACAGAGCCTGTAAAGAAAAAGACGTTGGACTTTGAATCACATCATACGGCTACAGGGAAGGTGGATCATAAAACAGCTATTGCTCTACTATACTGTGCAGATATCCTCTGGTGTGGATTATGCAGCACCTGAACTCGGCACTTATTGCCGCAGAATTGAAATTGTACACGTGTACCCAGGCAAATTGCTTTGGTTATGGAGAACGGCGGTAAACCAGAGAAAAGAGGAAGAAAAGAAAAGGTTGGCTGGCAGCTCGATTCTGCACGACCACGACGACATGCTTCCAGAGGCAGGGGTTGGATATATTACCTCCTCCTATGATGAGGGCAGAAAGAAACTTGGCGGACCCAGACTGTCGGGTCGGCCCTCATCTCGGTGATAAGTTTACCTGGCCCAAAGACCCATGATGAGCGAGGGGTCCCTAGTCTCACCTGGATTCATCCTGGACAAGAAGATTTGGAATTCTGAATCAGACTGCAACAACCTGGGTAGGTTGTTGTCGAGGCCTAAACTGATTTGCGTTGTGCGGGGGGCGGAAAAGCGCAGCAGATCCCGATTGCGCCAATATGATCATCGCTTATGCTTTGTATAGTGTGTAGTGAATTAGAGCAGAAGGCCACCACCTCCTTGGTATTTGTCTTTGAACATTTTTCATCATGGATTACAGACAGAAAAATCCAGTTATTCTGCCTGACCAGTGAAAAAAGAGACGCTAGGTGCGCATAAATGCATCAACGCCTGATTCTCTGCATGTACTAGACGCCAGGCGTCTAAACATATGTAGGTTAGTTACCTATGTATGCTACATATGTACCACAACCGCCGCGAGCAACGGCCCCATGTCAAAGTGTCTCGTCTTTCCCCGTCTCGTGGGCTGGCCGCCTGCCTGCCTGCCTGCCTGCATGGATTGACGTGCAAGCGAGGGTTGCCAATCGATCCTACCGAAAGGTCGAGATGGGGAGGGTGTCAAAACGAACCACACCTAATGGCACAAGTGTGCCAGGCAAAGATCTGCCATCTAATCATGCATTGACCCTCCCCCAAAACTCAAGCGAAATATGCCATGCATGTATGAATAAAGAGCGGTGATGACCGTTGTAATGACTAATGCTTGCTTTCTTTTTTTGGCAACAGCCCTCGAGTATACTGCTTAGCAAGATTATGAATAAGAGGTCTCTGGAGCATATGGGTGTTCTTCCGTGAGTCAAAACTTGGTGATCATTGTTACACCGTTTGGGTCACACGTAGGGGCGTACCAAATCACAGACAGTATCCGATGAAGCGATCCGACCACTCGGCCTACATCTTTCGAGAATACTCTGGACATATCAGGGCGCGCTCCAAGTCGGCCTTTGTGTACTTTTCTTCATGGAGCCCACCTCTTGTTGTAAAATCCAAGAAAATGTACGGCAGAGACCAGTACTTTTGGAAACCGCAGTGCAAGATCATATGTGAATTTGACACAGAAAATCATACAAGTATGTTCTTATGCAATCTTGTTACTTAGCCGCTCGGCTATCATACCTGGCTTATCCTTTTGTGCCATGGCCCCCTTCCCCCCTCTCGCCCATCTGCTCTCTCTGGCCACCCTTTCCTCCACCGTTCCGAGTTGTCGGGATAATGTGATACCATTCCTCATCGATCCTCCTTGTACATGGGCTACTACTGCATTTCTACAGTAATGTACCTAGACATCAATATCCAAATCCCGGCATCCTTGCCACAGAGTGCCAGTGTTATTCCCAGACAGCAATAGCGAGGGTCAGGCATTCTTTTTGCCGCGGGTATCCCATCTGTACTCTCAACCACGTACCTAGAGCCATGCCAGGAAGTCCATGGTGAGCCCTTGAAACAACGCTTCTGTTTCCGGGTCCAAAAGTTCATGGCTATCAAATTTTCTTTTTGGTACGATTTTCATTCCGAGGTTGCATTCTTCATGATTTGCATGCCGTATTTGGAGGGGTTTCCCCCCCTTCACCCACGTGTTTACCGTCGCAGTGCTTTGAAAAGTAGAGAAATCAAGTGGAATGCTGATCAAAATGCGTACCAATCTCTACTTTTGTCCAGGAAAGACACTGGAAAGGCACCCCTGCTACTCCCAAGCTTCACCGCAGACGTAAGAAAAGAAGAAAAATGTGAGTGGCACGGCATATGCATGGATCGACCCAGGATTAAAGAAGAAAGGGCTAAGAACATCGCTTGTGCCACACCACCACCATTTTAAGCCGCCGGCATTTCACTAAGGGATGGTTGTGGCATAGTCCATATGCGGAAGTTCAGTGCATAAATGAACAGAACTACGCATAAGTCCCCTCAAAAGAAACAGAAAGGTTGTGGTGGATAAAGGAGTAGGAGGGAAAAGACCAAGACCACACAAGAGCCCCGGTTTCTGCCCCCCCGCAGCTAAGCCTTACATTGGTTGTTCCTTGAGGGAAGATGGACCCATACGCATAGCCCGTCCTTTGCCCGTCGGCCATCGGTCCCGGCCCCGGCCCCGGTCCCTGTTGGAGTATGGAATAAGAATCCACTTTCTCTCTCTCATCTTGTCCCTCTTTGTTAACACGGCGCCAACGATAAGCGCGAGTAGGCATCTGAAAAAAAACGGGGGAGACCGGGTCTGGAACGATGAGTTCTATTGGAGTTGACAGGTAAAATGGTGGGGGAAATACTGCACGCGCCCTCTCATCATTATCCTGAAAAAGAGATTCGTTGGTACGGGGGAAGCCCCCTCTCTGCCCTAGAATTTTGCGGACCGCATCGTGGAGAGTATACGTAGATGGAGTCGTTCGTATTCAGAATGGTTCTTGTTGCAGTTGGTCGCAGCTACAGCATTGTACCTAGATAGCGTCATAGCATCGACATCTTCTTCTTCTACTTGTGTTCAAGATGTTCCTCCATCTACACCGTTGTATACATTACATCACAATGCCATGTTTTAGCGCGGCAATTGCACACACACCATACCGAGACTCCTCCAACCATTCTGTACGCATGTTTAGGTTCACTCCGAGATCTTTAGTAAGATCGCCACGTTTGGATACGATAACAGAGATGCCCCCAGTTGACATAGGTAGGTAGTTAGGTTGCAGATGAGAAATGCAACATACTGGAGTAATATTGCGTGTATGTATGCATGCACATTCGGTCTACTTACGGAATACTACTAGGGAACCCTTTTTGCCTCCTCTCCTCCACAAAAAGCGTTGAACGTTGGGCGGGGCAGTGTTGGAGCGTCTTTAACCAGGTACTTGGAGGGGAGCTTTTCCCCTTTGTATCTCTACTGTATAGATATATCGGGGACGGATCCATCAATTCATTGTTCTTTGAGCGCACGTCGAGTCAGTCAATTGCCCAGGTGAGTACATGTCTCAAAACCCCCCCCGGCGGCGCGCCCTAGGGGCAACGGGTACGGTATCAACAAAAAGACGGTTAGGTTTAGGATGACGGACGGACCCGACAATTCGGTACGCTAACAAGGATCTCCTGGGTCCCCCCCTGTCCTGGCTTTTTAGCACATCCCGGTCCAGTAAAACGATGATAGCCCCCCACTGTATAACCGCCGAAAGAGCCAATTGGGTATGATGCATATTTAGCGGAGGTCGGGACCGACACAAAACCCCGTTCTTTGGGGAGTGGGAAAGCTTTCTGGCTATAGCTAAACGAGCAGAGTTGAATGGTTCTCGAGTCTTAAATTTATACAGGTTATACTAGATAAAATCGAGGAATATATGTCTCCTCGGGTGGATATGGAGAGAGTCTCTAGAGAAGGAGAGAGAGGGGAGATGGGCTGGCTAGTTGCTGTAGGTAATACTGTTGAAAATGAGAATGGGCTTATTGGGCGAATGACAACGGTGCAAGTGGATCGATCGACAATGAACTGAGAATAAAAAAGAAGACGCAAGATTGGACCGCGGAAACGGCATCTTGCTCCCCGTCAGACGACGCCCCCCCGCCTCAAACCTATTTTCAGAAGTTGGTCGGCGTCTGCAAGAGAGAAAAATGGTTCCACCTGACTCTGTCTGGACAGTCCGCTATGCTGGGCTGGGGCACCCTGGTCCACTGCCTCGAGCATTCAAACTCCTACGCATTTCATAGTAATAATATGCCAACCTCTTGTCACTCCCTGTGAGATAGTTTTCGCAGCACACACATTTGGCTGTGGGCACACGAGGAGCGGTTATTCTACTTTCAAATCAAGCATATTAGCAGTTCTTTGCACTTTATCGTAACATACATTCTGGCACGAATCTAACCCAATCCTCTCTTTGTCGTTTTCTAAAAAGTAAATCTTGGCCTGCCTAGCTCACAAAACAAAACAAGAAGCAGATCTTCACCCATTTACAACAGGTACGAAAATGTCATCAACCTGTCCCAAAACGTACATGAAATACATGATCAGACCAAAAAAAAAAAAGTAGAGTCAATAAGTCCATCCAATCACATCTCCTTGACACGAGAATTTTCATGGAATGCTGGCAACACATGAAGATCAGAATAAGAAAGAAAAAGAAGAAGGGGAAAAAAGGGAAAAAAGAACAAGAGGTCTGCAGGGTCCCTGATGTACGCAATTAGCAGTAGCAGAACGAGTGAAGGGATACCATGGAGATGGTAGACTGCAATAGCCGCCGCATTGGTTCTAGCTAAAGAAAGAGTAGCATGAGAAAAGAGGGGAGGCAGAGGGAGAGATCGATTCTGTCTGGTTGAACAACACCGGAGACGCTCCGTGCAGGAAAAAGAGAAAGCAATTGATAACAACAGGCCCTTCTCCTAGTTAGGTCATGGGCGAGGGTTAGATTATCCCTTGACCCAGGTGGTATTGCCTCCTCATGTCACATACGCTAATGTTGCCTGTCAAGCCCTGGACCTATCCGGTAGGGGCCCCCCTTGTTGACAGCCATGGCCCATGATAATGTAAAGAGAGACCCACAATCAGGCAATTCGTGGGCTGCATCCGGGAACTTCTCCCCCGTCGTCGGCATTCCGTATCCAGCGAATGACATGGCCCGGCCATTCCACAGGTTGATCAGGCCAATTGGAAACGTGCCTCAACTTCCCTTGTGTCGGCAACGCCCCACGCAAATGCTTCGGCCATGTATGCCTGTAGGCCGCCAGGTAGTGTCATGTATGAGAAGAAGTAGTAGTAGCAGTAGCAGCACCTTTGGCCTCGGTCGACAGGGATCTGATCAAACGCAATACATGCTGACTGGGATTGATTTGTTCTTGCGGGCAAGAGGTAGATAGTGATGTAGTGTAGGCTTGTAGGCTTGTAGATAGGTAGTAGCAGATGTATGTAGAATTGGAATGGTCTTCTTGGCAAAATTCCCCAAAAACGCCTACAAGAAATGAAAAGAAGAAAACGTTGTCCTGCCAATGCTGATCGACGTGAGTCGCCCAGAGTGCCCACATCCTGGGGTTCACCCCAACACCACCTATGCCGAGACTCCTGGAAATATTCATCTTGCCCTATGCAGTGTGATAGTCACAGTCTCCCACTTTATCGTGGTTGACCAATGACCTGTCTCGTCGGTCCATTCCTATGACTGAAACTGACTGCCATCACCCCAGCCGTAGTTCATATTGCCGACGCCCATAGCCGAGCCCTGTGTGCTCTCCCCCATGTCCTCCGTGAAGAGGTTGCCGAATGATGCAGAGAGTTGCCCCATGTGCGATGCTTCGACCTGAACTCCTGCATTCTGGATAGTCGGTGCCTCGTACACGCCCGTGACATCCTCGAGTCTGTACGGGTTGACTCCAGTATGGGAATGAGGGATTGGGGAGTGAATCTGCTGATGCTGAGGCTCTCCATGCCCGAAAAAGTATCCGTGGCTGGTGACTGAACCCATTGGCGGAGGGCCTTGCATTGTATTGGTGAACAACAGCTCACCTGCGGGCACTTCTGGTGGTGTCGCAGGGTCACTCCTGGCAGCCTGGCCAAAGTCCATGCTTGGGGCTCGGCCGTAGAAATTCTGTTGTCGCTGAAAGTCATTACGAGGAATGCGGCTGGCGAAGACGCCACCGCCGTAGCCTCTGAGAGCCGTGCGACGGCTAGCTGCCAGCCTGGTCCTGCTGGCTGTTATGCCACCTCGTCGCCCAGAGGTTGCTCGTGCTGAGACATGATGACCCCGATTGGAGCGATGCGCACCCGTGGACCTGCGGCCAGGATTGTTCCTGGGACGGTATCGAGTAGTGCTTTGGACACCATCCCTCACTGCCCAGTCTTGCAAAATCCATTCCGTTGACCTCCTGGGGGTTCCAGCATCAGTAACTGGACCATCTGGTGTCTCCCTTCTATCACGCTTGACAAAGGCCTGTCCAACGGTTAGCATAGCTTTTCCATGTAAGAAGGGCTTGAAAAGAGGCGCTGATGTGTGCAAAGACACGCCCCCCCGGGCTGACTTACCCCATTCATGCTCAAATTGTGCCGGATGCTATTCTGCCAACCCTTATGCTCTGGTACTGCCCTATCAGTGTTCTCGCGGAACCACTGATATATTTCCTGCAGCGTCATGGCGTGATCCTCGCGGCTCATGAAAGCCCGGAAGATGAGCTGTGCATACGGTTCATCAGGCCTATTGGCTTCGTCTGCGTCCAAATCGGCATCCTCTTCCTGTCCGTTGGACCCGGGTGGTGGTGTACCCTCATCATTGTGAGTGTAGCTATTATCCAGGTCATCATTTGGCCCAGGGGACAGGCTATGATCCGACATGGCCGAGTCGGCAGGGTCCGGTGTCATGGATGGGACACTTGGTGTCATGGGCTCTGGCTCCATGGTCCTGCTTAGGTAGCTGTCATCTGCGAACGGGGAAGCGACAAGCGGTTGATTGAACGCGTCTTCCATCTGCAGTTGTGTGCCCATGTGAAGACCGTATGGAGGAGTGAAGTCTGGGGTCTTCCAGGCCGCCTCTTGGTACGGGAACTGTTGTGATCCAGCTGGTGACCAAGACCTGGGACTATGGACCAGAGATGGAGGGGACAAGGCAGCTGTGGCATGAAGCCCAAAGCTCGCACTCGTCGGCGAGGAGCGATAGGTATACTCATCAAACTCGTCGTCAGAAGTCGGAGGTGGTGTGGGCCACATGGGCATGCCTTGGTACGGGGAGCTTGATGGATGGATAACTAGTGGCGTGTGTGTTTGGGGGGCCGTGGTAATGGCCGATGGAGGAAAGTGCAGGGACTGTTTGGAAGGCAGCTGGGCGGTTTCAGCAATGTCCAACGAAGGCGAGGGAGGAAAGCCCGTGTCTGGATTGGGATAGTCTCTGGTAATCTTTGGTGATTGTGTCGTGCAAATCTGTTCCGGGTCGTTGCTAGTCGCGTCTGGAGAAGCGTGGTCGACGGGCAGGCCGTCGCAGAACGTCAACTGCATCCTGAACAAGACCGACGGGTGGTGAGAATGGTATCGCGGTAGAAGCGATGGCTTTTCCCCCCCGGCTCAACGCAATGTGGATCGTTCTGAGACAAGAAGCGAAGCCGTTCCGGTGAGAGACTGGCGGCAGGTTGTAATAGACTAAAGAATACGAATAGTCACGCCCAAGGTGAGAAAAAGGATGCTGCGATGCTCGCACAAACTCTGGACGAAAATGGAGAGTTTACAATGGGGATATCAGCCTCCAGATGAATACTGATTTCACACACTCTAGACAAGTCGGCAGTGCTTCTGACGGCAGTCGTTGAGTATGGAAGAGAAAATTTTGTACCAGTCGCGAGAGTGATGATATGGCAGGACGAGCAGAACGAGATTGTTACCAGGCGACGGATGTCTGCACTATAAGTCCATCAAATAGAATGGGCGGTTGTGCGGCCTTGACCTGGCGTGGCCCGATTCTGCTTTGTGCGGATCGTTTCCAGTGATCTCGAAAGAACAAAACGACAATGTAGTTGCAAGGGTCCTTTGCAAGGGTAGAGATCAGGACGCCTTCCAGGTACCAGGCATGTAAGAGAGATCCAGATACGATGGGAGGAGGGAAAGAAAAAAAAAAGACAAGGGCAGCTTTCCAACTGTGGGTTGCGTGGAGGCCAGGGGGGGTGTGTGGCAGTTGCATACATACGTACTCAATGGACGACCAGGTAGTATGTAGGTAGGGGCCGGGGGTGAGAGGTACAGGGAGATAGGTAGTAGGTAGTAGAGTGGAGTATGTGGGTTGTGGACTCCCTGTAGTACATGTGTACGAACATGTATGTACGGAGTACGCTTTTGGCTTTGCAAAATGCCTTGTTCAGAAAAGAGAGAGGGCGAGGGGGACGGAATGGGTCAGAGGCCGTCGGGCAACACAAAACCGCTAAGTCAAGAAGAGTAGAACCATCTGCCTGCAGAGGCCGATTCTGGCTTTCTTGCGGGTCCCATCCTTGTGATATCTATGGCCTGGGGGAACATCAGGAAATAAGAAATGCCTGGAGCCTTGTGTGTACGTACTTCGTATGTCACTGGCTCTTCCCTAGGCTGTGTGATTGTGCCGGTACTTGCATGTACATGGCATGACATGCGTCTGTGTCTATGTTGTGCAAACGCCGTTGCATTCTCTGTGGCCGCCGCGCTGCTCAGTTCCATCCATGTACAATACGTCGCCATGGCATCTCGGGGAGATTGTCTCTTGTGCTAGGAGGGCGCTGCTGGCTTTTCCTTCACGGTACACACGCACATACGTATGAGGAAGCATTGTGTACCCTACATGCTGCACCACACTGGCAGATATTGATGTGTAGTAAAGTAGTAGCGCGGTGGCAGAGCTGCAAAGTCGTTGGCCCTGAGAAGGGGGAGGAGAAAGTTTGGACCTGGAGCAGATCAGTGTCCTGGGAGCTAACATTCAATCAAGGCCACCAAGAGGCCATAGTGCTCCAAGCAGGTAAGCGAAGCTGAAGACAAGACAATATGGCGGAATAAGGAATTGTCAAGACTGAGTGTACAGCTTGGTTGGCCCGGGATTCCAGGGCCACTTTCCGCAAGGCGGTCCACGCGGCTGCGTGCATTCTCGATGGCCTGAACAACAGCTCGCCAACTAGAGCCAATCAGTAGTTGCTCGGTCCCGATCTGGGCCTTCTCTTGCAGCCCCGTTTCCTTTCAAGCAGATCCAAGCACAAGGAGAGAAAGTGTGGAGGGGAAAGGTGAGAGGCGTCATGGAGAGTGGGCATATTGAGTTACCGTCAACAGTCTCCCTTCCTTCATAGATCACTGCATGAAGCTGCTTGCCCCCCTGACAGTCAGATCTCATGTAAGGCACCAGTCGGCACTCCGAGTGGCAAGAGGTTGGCCCAAGATTGTCTACCATTCATGTGTACATAAAGGATTTTTGCATTGTCTAAGCTCGTTTGATGCGATGAGTTTCAACTGTCCAAACGTGCTATTTCTCTATTTCCTCTTCTTGTTGTAGAGACTACACTGCCCATGGGCGCTTTTTGCACCCAGAAGAGATCAATCTGGAGCTTGAGTTCTGACGTAAGACGCATATAGAGCAGCGAGCAGCCTGGTGTATTGTTCGACGACAGGGTCTGATTTGATACGTCCCTGCTCAAGTGAGGCAGTGGTCGCCCGGCTCTAGTCTGACAAGTGGGCTGTTGGAATATCCGAGTCATTCTATCGACTGTGACTAATTAAGTTTGTATCCAAGTAACGTAGCCAGGCTGTGCCATGCTCCAACAGCCATGGCTCAATCGTTTGTTTGCTACGGTGTATTCCTGTCGCCAGCAAGCCGCAGACAAGGTCAGATGGACTATTTGCGATAATAGATCTATTCTTCTGTTAGTCTTTGTGCATTGCATATAGTTGAGTCAGGGAGGTCTTACCTTTTTGAACTGAAAGTGCAACTGGAGAATGCCCTGTCGGTGGCAGATTAGCTTTATGTTCAACAAGGGTCCATTTTCCACTAACAACAGGAGCGCAATGGCGGGAAGGGAGAGTCAACAAAAGAGACGACATCCGCGCGTCTGAGGGGATGAGCGATAGTTGGTATCACAGAGGGTAGGTATGAGATGCTGCTACATGCGGCAACGTACTGGGATATGCCAGTCACGTTGAGTACCGCCGATGAACGCATGCAGCCATCCAAAGTTCTTACCATGGCTGCGGAAGACGTCCCTTGCCATACCAGAAAGACGCAAGGGGGTGGTCGCCAGCAGAAAGAAGGAGAGAAGGGAAAAAATAGAATTGTCACTCACCTTGTCAAAACTGCTCCGGAATCCTCGATCCTTCTTTGCGCTGTAATCCCACTCCCGATCCACGATACGAAAAGCGATATCCTCGTAAGGTGGCCCGGCGACGAATCGAATCAGACAAGTGTCTTCCTCGCCTGCCGCAGCAAAGGATTCGCCCCGGCGCCTGCCATGTTCTCTGATAATCTTGAATGTGGGTGCTTTGGTCTTATCAATGAGTTCTGGATAGAAGATGTTGAACTTGTACCCCTGGACAACCTTGGGAGGGGGGTTGTCGTGGTCGTAATGTGTTTGGTTGTACTTGTTCCATTCATAACCCATTTGTACGCGGTTGAAATATCGTGGCTTCCTCGGTCTGTATTTTTCGGCCCACTGGGGCTTGGCGGCCGAGGGAACGGTCTCTTCGGCAGTAAAGATCTCTTCATTCTCGCTGAAACCACGCGCCACCTCGCGATCATAGAGTGCCTTGGTTGCTTGAGAGAAATCTTCACCGCCGGCAGTAGCAAATCGTGCAGTTCCAGGGGCAGATGCCGTTGCGCCACTAGAGCTAGCAGAAGCGGAAGTAACCATAGACGTGGTCGGCTTCGACACAGCAGGTATTGTAGAGGCATTGCTGCGTGTCGCATCTGCTGTCGAGGTCGAGGCAGCAAGCGCTTCGGCCTTTGCTGGGTTTCTTTCCCGCAGCTCTTTGATTCTGTGTTCTTTGAGCTCGTCGCAGATGTTCCGCAGTTTGGCTTTTGCCTTGTAGACCAGCAAGGACTTGAGGAGCTGGCCCCAGTAATCCGTGTCGATGGCTTCGTCTGACTTGAGCTTTGCCCTGATCTGTCCCTCGAGTTTCTCCAGCTGCTCAAGCGATTTGGGTCCGAGAATCTTGTCGACATCGGCGCTGACTGAACTGACAGCACGTTCCTCCGCGCCCATGGGCTTCAACTTTTGCCGTCTCTCAGCGGCAAGCGACTGCAATGCCGTCCAGTATTCCCGATTTCGGCCATTTGTTTCCAAAGTGTGGTAGGATTTGATATCGCCCTCCAATTCATCGAGCTGAGCTGCGCTGAGACCCTCGACCACGGCGATGGGATTTGGCACGTCTATCTCAGCGTCTGCTTCTTGGTCGTCAAAGATGTCGCGGTCGGTATCGATGTATCGAAGATTGAAGGCGAGGAGGTCGATCGGTTTGGCGCGGCCCTCTCGAACCCGGATGTCGGCCTTTTTCTTGGATTGCTTGAGCACAAAATTGTCCTCGTCGGCGACAAACTTCCTAGCCTGTTCATCCTGGGTCAGGTACGCGGGTGTTGGCGTGGCAGATTTGCTCGCAGGGCGGGATGGCTTTGTGATCCTGTTGTTTGGGTCTCGTCTAGGAGATGTGATGTTCTGGCGTGGGGGTGACTTACGCCCAGCAATCATGGCCCTCCTTCCGGGATCCATCTTGGTGCCAGCGCTGTGAGGGCAAGAAGAGTGCACGCTTTGAAGACAGATTGTGTAGTAGCAGTGTATTTCGGTCTGTCGTGCTGGGGAAGTGAAGTAACGGGCAAGTACTGCGATGACCGCAATGCTTGTCGCAGTCCTCCAGGTAGAAATTATGACGGAGTGCACGGACCTGATGCGACAGCAACGCCGCCCGCGCCTGCCCAAGGCAGGTACTACAACTACACACTGGACTAAGAACTCGACCAATCAAAACCATTCGAGATCCTAATCAATGACTATAGCATTTTCAGGTTCGTGTCGGCTTCATACACGCATCGGCAGCATACAAACATGGATCCATAAATTTGACTCAGTACAATTGATCCAAACAATGTACACCAACGAAACCGCTACTTTGCAGTACGACATTAGTTGACAGCTTCTATTGTACGAAATATTGCATCAAGTCATGACCTAACTGCTTGTCACGACTCGCGCCTATCTGTATATCGATTTCCTTGATGCGTGCCGCAATGGTGTATTCCCAAGTCTGGCCATTTAGTAGGCATCAGCTGTTGCGAGACACAACAACGCCTCGAGTCGCGTTCCAGAAACGTGCTCTAGTTCATAATTGAGACGCCGATATGAGCTTCCATGCAATTAATGCCACCGAGAATGGACTGTAAGTCGGGAATCAGCAAATGTCCCAAGAAGTAGTGCAGAGGTCGAGGGAATAGAATGGTAGGTCTTGCATCGTCGAGATGCCAGATTTTCTTTGGGAAAGTACTGATGATGAATGGCTGTTGGAAATAAAAAGGAGCATGAGAGAGAACTCACAATACCGTCTTTCTGAGCATTCTCGACAGCAGTATCTAGGAAATCGACGATATCCTGGCTTCCAATGCTATAACCCCATCAATGTCAGCATCTTTATTCGTCACATACAGGGGGGGTGAAACATTGTCAGAGGGTTCGAAACCCACTGGACTCGGTTCTGATTGTTCAGGTTGCTGATTCTAACAAAGCAGTTGCCGCTGTTGGTGAGCACGCTGGCAGTCATACCATCCCAGCTGAGAATGTGCCAGAAACCAGGACGGGCGCGCCAGTAGTCGGCGAGATCCTTGCAATCGGAAGGATTGGCGTAGTCGTTTCCCAGGGGCTCGGCTGTTTGGAAGGTACATCATCAGTCTTTTTTTGGTTGAGGAGCCAACACTGGATGTCTAGTATACGTACAGCCAACGGAGTCGCAGAGCGTACGCACATACCAGCGGGCAGTGAAGGTACTCTGGAAGGTACGAGTGTCGAGAGCGCTGGAGTTGGCAGCACTCGGAGCAGCGGCGGCCTGAGCGATGACCGACAGGCCCAGAAGCATCTTGGAGAACTGCATCTTGGGCAGATTTGTGATGGTGACTGACGTCTAAACGAGAGAAATCAATGGTGTTGGGGAATTTGAAAGACGTGTTGTCTTGCGAGATTGTTGTTGTGAAAAGAGGGCCAAACACAAAGATTGAGGATGTCGGAGTTGGAGGAATCTATCCTGAATTTCTTCACGTCCTGATTTGCGCTGCATAGAATTGAGCGAGAGCAAATGATGGCGACCTTCTTGCCAAATTTTTAATCAACGACTACTCCGTTTGCGAACGCTCAATACTTTATCTTGGTTCTCGACCGTATCTGAACTACAAGGGACTGGATCATATCATGCTATGTGATTTTGATCTTGGACAGAAACATTTGTTACCGCAACGCGCACCATGAGCACCACTATGAACTCAAAGAGATGGAGCAGCCCGCCAAAAGATAATAAGAAGCACAGATGTTCCTATAGAGTCTAGATAGATCACACTCCGCGAACTACGTCTGTTTTCTGTCTTACCAAAGGTCTAAGCAGCATTGCACATGGGAAAGGATGGATCATTTCGGTATTATAGCAAAGAAGCCTTGCTCCAAGCATAATAACAATGGTTCCTCCTGGTTGCCTAACAGTATCACACATACGCCAGAAGGATGCATTCACCAATTCACTAAAACTGTAACATTGGTATCTCTTGTTTCTCGCAAATTGTCTGTCTCTCGATCTAATTGTGGTGAATGAATAGGTTGCTAGCACAGCCGCACGAATGTATCATAAATCATTACATCGTCAAACCAATCTGCGGGGTGTGAGAGCAGTGCTCTCGGGGTATCCTCTTGAAAAGTCCCCGCCCATTTGACGTGTTTGCCCAGCTCGCGAAAAATAACATGGTCGCTCAAGATCGTGCCGGTAAGGAAATTAGAAAGAGAAAAAAAAAAAAAAGAACGCTGATGTGCTGCAGACTGTCGGGAGAGCCCATTGCTTCACCAAAGATCGATAGGATCACGTCGAGAGGACAACTGACCGAGTGCGCATGGGGAGGCATGGTCGCTAGATCATGGTTCTAGGTTGAGTTCTAGGTAGCATGTCTTCGTAGCGGCGACCAGCAACTTGGCGCTCGTCGTAATCCGACGGTGCATACAGTGATGTCGGCGAGTACTGCGACGAAGAAGTAATGGAGGGCTTGTATGCAGCCGTTTTGATCGGTGTCAGCTGATCGTCACGAAACTGTGTTGACAAAGCTGCCATTCTAGCAGCCTCGATATCTCCAGCATATTGACGTCCTGAACCTGGCAGTGGCTTTGAGATCTGCATTGTAGGAATGCGCGAAGGGTTACTCTTGTTCTTGCGCTTCCTTGCCATCACGACACAGGCGACGATGATTGCTAAGATGACGGCAGCGCCCGCACCTGCGCCGATGCCTGCCTTGGCTGCTACACTCAGTCCATCTGTGCTGGAGTCATCAGTATCGGCAGCCGCCCCTGAGGTAGCTGAGCTCGAAGATGCTGCTGCAGTGCCAGGTACTGTCTTGGTTGAGGAGCTAGTCGCCGACTGCATCTACGTTAGTCACAAGGAATAGCTGAAATCAGGGGTGCTCATGAAACTCACTGTGCCCGACGTGGTGGCAGCCGCTGATTGTGAAGAAGCGGTGGACGTCGCCGAGTTCGAAGGAGCTGAAGCCGAGGTGGTTGCGGTGGTTGCAGCGGACGCGACAGTCTCAGCACTTGCAGTGCTTACGGGCGACGTAGCTGGGCTCACGGGCGACGTTGCAGTTTCTGCTGCCTCGGTGGTGGAGGGCTCAGCATTCGCAGTAGTGGGCGGCGCTTCAGCCGTGGTAGCAGGTGGTGGTGGTGTGGTGACTGGGGTGGTGGGCGTCACTCCTGCGGAAGCTGCAGCAAATATTGATCAATAAAACAATCCATGGCCATGGTTCTGTGAAGAAGTTTACTCACCACTTGCCTGAGCGCACTGCGTTCCTGAGTCGGCCTGAGCATCCGATAGCTGCTGGTCCAAATCATCCGAGGGACATGCCTGTGTAATGCAGTCGCGGATGGCGAACCAGAAATCAGGAGTGCTGCCGCAGGCACATACTTTGTCATTCACAGCGCAACCAAATTTGGTCGTGTCTGAGAAGACCTGGCTAATGCAGCCAGCCTGCGAAAGGTTCTAGAGTCAGCCGACTATTCCGTGCATTGCTAGAAGAGGGAAAATGCGGGCAGCGCTGGCCAATCAATTGGCCGGACGGGCCTATGTTGTGGTGTCGAAGCTTACGTACCGAGCATGCGGAAAGACCATCTGCAGCTGCAAGGCCCAAAAATAGAGCGACGAGGATCGGGAAGAAGCGAACCATTGTGCAGAGCGGCCAAGAATCAATAGTTGCTGATTTCAATATTACGAATCTGTATTGAAATATTGGAGGTTTTCGTGCAATCTGTCCTCGTTTGCTGAAAAACTGCGTGGAGTAGGTAGGGTCGCTTATCGAACAGCGGCAACTTGGCAAGATTGTCTGAATCGCAAACGTGAACTGCAGACAAGACTGGTTTTTGTTGCTGCGCGGTCGCAAGTCGTCCAATGGAGATAACTTATCCGTTTCTTTGGTAACCGATTGACGGGCACAAGAATGGACAAAAGATGCCGTGTATGGTGACGTGAATTGAGAAATTGAGTTTTTGAATACCGGACACGGGTCGGTTGCTCGGGTGGTTAATGGTTCGAGGTCGGAGAAGATTTGACCAGGTGAAGAGATGGACAAAGTAGGACGGCGAAAATAAGCTAGAGTCTCACGAAATAGGCCATGGTCGTCCAGGTAACTTTTCAAGTTGGTGTATTTTCGTGGTTGATGCCGGTAATGATGATGAACCCTGTGCAAACGTGAGGCTTGGCGACGAGGAAGGTGCTGTCGGACCCTGAACTGGGAGTTCCGTTTAGTTGGGGAGATCTGTAAATTGACCCAAAGCAGGCACGATTGTCGTCAATCCTTCCTTTTGGACGTTGGCGAGAATCCTCAGATCGACTAGTATGGCGATTGAGTTGACCAGAATAGAATAAAAATGGTGGCGACAACGTCAATGGCAACCTCTTTGCTCCTGATGTGTTCTTTCTGCTCTTTCTCTTTCTGCGTCTTTCTTGAATTGAGAATATCAGACCTTCCACCGATCACGTTGCAATTGTAAATGTGACAAACGACCTGCTGGGGTGGCGTTGGGTATCCTTGGCTCTCTCTGTAGTGATGGACCTGGTAAATGAATAGCAGTTCAACACAAATGTTGCCGCTCGGGCAAAACCGAAATGGAAGTGCGCAAATGGTATCTTGAAAAAAAAGAAGAGGCCGCAGGCCAGAAAGAAGAGAAGGTCAAAGACACGAAGTGCGACTTCGTGGCAGTGAGTAGGAGATGTGCCGTGTATATGAATATGAAGGGCGGCGAGACGAGACCGGGCCTAGCCTGGATCGGAAGACGGGAACGACAAGGGGGGAGTAGAAGAGAATGTGAAAACAAAAGGAACGAACTGCGTCGACAGACGGCTGGGGGGGTGAGTAGAGAAGGTGGGGGAAGGGGGGGCGACAGAAAACAGAAGTGAAATGGATGAATTGGGAAGGAAAGGAATACGAAAGAGGTGCGCCCGTAGAAATGCAACGCTGAGGGAGCTGACAACGACGAGACGTTGGAATGGCGATGCGGGCGCCTCATGTAAGTCGGGAAGGAGGGTACCACATTATGAGCCGAGTGGGTATGTAGCCAGCAGCCAACAGCCAACCTAGAGTCTAATCAACGGTTATTGTTACACGCTCCAATAGCAGCACTATGACCAGATACTGATCTTTTTTTTTCCCTTTTTCTTTTCTTATTGTCTATCTATCTATTTGACGTTTTTCTACCTAACTACGTTTTAGTAATGCAAAAGTAGCGGCATGTGCACTGAACGTCTATAAAACGGAGCCATGGGCTAATAGGTAATAGGTGGGCACTAAGGTAGGCGGGTATTAATTGATGAACACTCGAGGTCAAGGACTCAAGGGTGAGCTTTTTGATACAGTCTCTCCACAAACGGTACTGCCTTAATAGAAGCCAAACTACAAACAGGTGCTGGGCGTCTACCAATACACAGGTTCTTCAATCGTCTCTCTCGTGCTCCCGCTACAGGTACCAGCGATTGGTGGGGGAGCTTCCGTTAGACTGGAGTCCTTGAGGCTTGGCTTTTACTCAAGACTATGCGGACTAGGGGGTTGACAGGCACCGCTCCACACTTGTGACGGCGGAGATCATATCAACGCCCAGCTAAGGATCTGGACTAATCCACTTTCATCAGAGGCTTTCATCTCTTTCTGGCGCTCTTGTGTCATGTTTTCCAAGGGTCATTCGGTTCATCACATTCACTCAGCCCATCAGCTCTTGTCAGCTCAACTTTACCAATATGATCGCTGAGCGCAGGGCTCGTATCTGGAGCCGTGGCATTTCAATGCAAGAACAGGCGCCATGATGCTTGTCGTCGAATGTACAGACTACTGTAGGTGTCAATGTGCAGGCTCGTGATACGCTGCCAACAGTCAAACAACATTCAGATATCTTCAAATGACATCTTTCCTTCAATACTCTAAGACTCAATGGTCCAGTTCATGATGATTTCTGATCTTGGCTGCCTAAGACAGCCTGTCATCTGGCTGTACAAGTGCATTTCGGATGAAATATTTTGTGGCGCCTTGGGAAGGTTCACTGTCTTCCAAGGCATCATTTTGACTCTTGAGGACTCAGCAAGCTAAACGGCACTTAAGTCACTAAAAAGACTGATAACCATTCGAAGCCATGTCTTTTTTTTTTTTTTTTTTTTTTTGCAACACATTAATCGTGTGGTTTTATTTTTTTCCCTTTTGGTATGCCGCCTTCAAGGGCTCAAAGGACCAGAGACATCTCCACCCATGGTAGTTACGCGGCTGCTGCAAGCAATCCCGTGCCTACATCGGCAGAGACGCGAGGCCCATGTACAACTAAAGTCACGGAGCGCCCTGCCTTGTCTTTGTAACATGGACCATAAGACAGCCCGTGGCATTGTGCGCGTGTTTAGACATTTCATTACGCCTTCTCCGTAGTCAACAGAAACGCCTAGGCAGGTAAGCATATATCTCTAGGCTATTCAAGCGATCGCTCAGGCTACTAGTTAGTTAGATGTTCCGAGTCATGAACACTAGCAAATGTCTAGCAGGTGATGCCACTAGGTACGACAGGTCAGCTCTTTTCTCTCTCTTGAATTTCTCAATTCATCCGCCTGCCCACGAACCGCGCCGGGTCGCGCTCCGATATGAACTTGGCTACTGCTTCCGCGATGAAGTAGTGAATGCAAGTGCGGCGGCACATGATCGACTTCCGTTGCAGTTCAGCCAGGGTTGCTTCATCATTGCCAGCCATGCCACCCCCACCAAGGGGGGGTAAGAAGAAGACATAGACACGAGCTTTAAAAAAATAAAAAGACCAATTCTCGGGCAAAAGCCACAAATCAGGATGCATGGCCGGAGGAAGCTGACGACTGAGGAGAGCATCGAGGGTCGCATCCTCGTCCAATTCCAGCTTCCGTCCAGGGACTTCCATTGCATACGGGCGACTAGGGTGGGTTTCTGCCCCTCCATGAGCTGGAGTCGTCACTGGATCCAAATATGGGTGATCGCCAACAGGGTCCACGGTCCGTCTAGTCAAACGGCTGTTCATGGTGGCTCACTCAGCTCTTGAGCGATGCAACCAACTACTACCGATCCAGGCCATGGCTTTTGTCGGGTTGGAAATGTTAAATTGACCTCTCAAGGTCGCTTGCTTGGGGGCAAAAATCAATTATTGGACTTATGTAAGTATTCCTTCTGCAATATTTTGCTGATATTATTGTCTTGGAAGCTATTATTGCATTCATGAATCCATTAAGGCCAGGTCATCGATAACGCCGCACAGCCCAATACCCCGGGAAGCGAATTCCTTCTGGAATCTAGCCCGTTCATCATTCATGCAGCCCTTCTAGCACCCCTACGACTCTCTCTTAAGATGCCGCACTATAGCTACGCAAGCAGAGGATCATGGAATGCCAAAAATGTGCATATTTTTGTTTTTCAAAATGTTAGTGCGTTCTAAACATGGTCATGATTAGTGACGATTGCAACAACCACAAATCACCAATTGATATGTCTGCTGTTTTTCACCCTTTTGGACCTGTATTGTTGGTTCTGTGTTTGCACGGCACGGCGCCCGCTAATGTGATACGTATTCATAGAGCATCGCTGACGTCGGCATCGTTATCCCAAACGCCGGCTCAATTGAAGCCACCCAGGTATTGTATCTAGACAGATCTATTACCAGGCTACCCGAGTCCCGGGACGACACCCCAGGTTGAGACCTCCCTTAGCAGTGCGACGGCAAGGTAACACCCAGCCCCTCCTCACATGGCAAGACAGCGGAATGATTAGCGGGATTCAGAGGGTGACTCTCTCGAATATGTCGTCAGCCTTTTTAGCTTCTGAATGCAGGCGTCGAGAGAAGAGGATTAGCGGAGGCTTGATTGCCGTCTAAAAAGCCGTCTCACACAAAAGAAAAGACACCGCAAGCTCTTGCAAGACTTTGGTCAGCCCTGGAGCCACTGGCTTTTTAGTTTCCGCCCAGCCAACGTCGTTTCAGGTTTTTGTACATTGATTTGTCCAGTCCCCCATTCTTACAATCACGGCCGATTCCCACAGCTCTGTCCTTTGACAAGGAAACATCATTGCGATCAACTTAAAATTCAATCATCCGGATATATGAAGTGATGATGACGGGGCACTCTTGTGTCAGTAGTATTCCCGTAGATATACGTGCCCATTCGAGACCTGGGGGTTACAGGCAATTGTACTGTTTGACATGTCCCCTGCCTGCCAGTTGCCAGCCTCTAGCCAGCAATTGGAGCACAGCGCAATCTATCTGTGGGTCCAGGGTATCATGTCGTCACCCTACCGATGCTGGCTCGTTTCATAATTAAATTGAGCTGGTCACGAGCAAAAGAGAAAAGAAAGAGCCGACGGGCGGCTTTTGCTCCCTCCCCCTCCCATGCGCTTTCGTCGCAGCGGGGGAAAAAAGATGAAGAAGAAACTATTCAGAGAGGGCTCTTGAAGTGAAACGCCATGCTTGTCATGATCTTCATGTGCCGATGGGGAAGTGTCGTTTGTAGATGCCCATTTTACATGACATGGCAAAAGTTGTGACTTTTGAGAAGGGAGGGTGGGGTTCCGCTCTTGTGTACTCTGTAAGTGTGTGCGCTCACGGCAGAGCATCTCAGCGAGACAAAACCCCTCTTTCGCGGCAGCAGAAACAGCGTGTTAGACATTTCCAGCAACCATTTTAATCAACCATCTGCCATGATCAGGAGGTTGAAGGTTCGTGTCCCCCCTGACACCTGCCTCTGAGAAAAGGACTCGGATCCGGCGCAGCCATGCCGCTGGATCCAGCAAGTATGGAAGTGTGCATGGCCTGCGATTATCTGCTCAACAAGCCATTTCCCTCCCATTTCGGGATGTTGATACCATAGTAGCAGTTCAACCACAAGCTTTCCCCACGTGCTACCCAGCACAGACACTGTTGGGTCACTGCGAAAGCATTTATTCCCTTTTGTCTTTTATTCCGAAAATCTTCCTTGCTTTCTCTCGTTGGAAAAATGTCCATGTCTCAAATCGACCGTATACGATGTAGTACTCAAGAGTTTTCGTGTCGCATCACCGCCCAGACGTGACTTGGGGACCATTCAACACTAGTACGAACTTGAGAAGTAGCATTCGCCAACCTGGTATTGATGCTCCCTCCAACGCCCAGGGACATGTCACCACATGGGCTTAAGGACCGGGAAACCCCGACCACGTTTCCCTTGTTTAGAAGACACTTTGCTGGAAACGAGCACGAGGTTCGGCTCCATTTCCTCGGTGCTCGCTCCTATTTATGGCGCTGTTCGGATATAGAAGGTGCTTTTTCTGCTTCTTTTGCTCGGGGACACGGGCTAATGGGCTTGGTCATGACGAGCCAATCAGCGTCCAGAGTTCTCCACCAATGTATCCCATTTCGGAAGGCAGATGGAATATTCTTCCGCCGTGTTCTCGATACTTCCAGTCATGCTGCTATTTTTTGGGGCTCTCTTCTGGCCGCCTCCCAAAGACCGACGCCTAATGCACTTGCTGATTATTGTGTTTGGTCGACATGCATCTTTTCGTATACTACAGTGGTGCAAACGGATGAACCCATGGCTTGGCATTGTCATTCTACCGCAATATAGCGTCACAAACGGTCCTTTATAGTCGAACTAGTGCAGAACCACCGAGATCGTGAATGAAGAAGTTTTTACAAGTAGATATACGGAGAGGGACAAGAGACTGGGCGGTAGCATTGCAAAATCCCATTTGAGCAGCCGCGCACCAGGGTTTGAGTACCTTTCGTTGCTACGTGAGATATCTCAAAAATTTGAGCCTTGTCGATTGCCTATATTAGGAAGTTCCTTGATCGTCATTATCTCTCTTCAACTATGAAGCTCAGAAGGAGGACTCCGCAACGGTGCAATGTACAGCTGCTGGTGTTGTGCGCCGGTCCATGTCCGATCTCGGAACAACGGCCAGTCCATACGGCCCACTGCATGCCAATCTGTTTCGAAGTGCGTGACGACAATCTCAACTTTCTATTATTCGTAATTGAGAGTAAGCTCAGGGACGCAGAAAGATCATCTGTGAGTATGGATGTCATGGGTATATTTGATAGAGGAACTGGATCTAAATGTATCACAACTGATCTTGACACAAGCATAAATATTGTCAATATAACGGTGAGGATCTCTTCATGAAACAATTGCACTTTTTGCATTACTCTTGCAATATCAGAGTACAAGCACTAGGATCAGGGGGGGCTTGCGTGGTTTTGACCGCTTTCAAGCTCAATAGTCAGTTTTCGGCTCCATTCTTTTAGTCGAGCAACAATAGTTGACATTGAAAGTCTACTTGCCCCGTTCACACCTGATATTACAGAATCTGTTTTTGGAAAAAAGAAAAATACAGAGAAATAGAATGAACGAATTTCAGATATTGCTCACAAGTCGAACAAATGCGCAAACACGTTACTGTCAACACGGCTGGCACACTCTAGTCAACAATACTTTTGTCTTTGGAAGAGACAGAAAAGCTCAAGTCCATTCCTCTGGTCTGTACCTTCCAGCCTTTCAAAGACGGATCGACAGAAAGTATATGATATACTGAAGTTATATGATCATGCTTGGGAGGAGGAGAGACCATACTCAAGGGAAGGCTTCGCACGCGCGCAATAATTCTAAAAAGGAGAGCGTGGGAATCTGGTGATCTATGCATCTAGCGTTTCTTTCACTGCTGCCCCTCACCAGTTTCCTCAATCATCATGGTCGCGACTCTGAAATACCATTTGCCCCGCAGCGTCTCCCCCTCTCGAGGGCGACTTGCATGGTGGATAGCTTTCAGGTACAACCGTGCCTGCGTGTTTCAGGAGTGGCGGGTAAGAAAACTCACGATCCAAGTATGGTAGATAAGTTTTCCTTTCCCCTCAAGTGAAAATCGTAGATAGTACTCAACATGCCTTGATCTGAAAAGTTAAGTTAGTGAGCAACGAATCAAGACTCTTGTTGGTCGGTCCTTTGCAGCACAATGGGACGCATGGTGTAAGTATATGTATAATTGGAAGCACGGGCCGTCTATAGTGAATATGCAATCCATTAAGGTGCGTCGTTGCCTCGTAAAAGATCTTGGTATAATTTTCCCCTCCTTCAGAGGCACGGCAGGTTTTGAAACGGCTGGAAACTCGATTGTTGCATCACGGGCCGCTATACTGTAGACTATCGATTACGGCCGGAGGTGAAAGGGAAGGCTCCCCGTTCTCTTGATCGTGAGACTGACATGGCGGCATTGGTAGCCGCAAGCCCGAGGAAACATACGATATGACGCAATCTTTGCAACGAGTAAAGCTCTCTTTGAAATATGTCCTATAACCCGTCGTGCTCGACGCTCTTGGTAACATGCTGCTCCTTGGTCAGCCAGAAGGATTAACTGACAGCAGAAGAGATCGTCGCTAATCTGACATCTGCATCATTCTTGGCTTTTGATTGATCTGCGAACCAGTGCCTGAATATCAATAACTACTTTGCGCAAAACAGTTTGCTGATCTACACCTCTCTGCTGTGTCTGAGTAATGGACTTCAGATCTGAGGGGAGTATTTGGTACTACTGCAAGTCGCACATGTTGAATGGTGATCCCATCCTGCGATCGGAGCGCGGAGCAATGGCGCTTCTCCTTCCGACCTTGCGGCATCGCAGACCATGGATCTACTCTTGGCAATTTAGAAGTGAAATGTTTGAGGCATATAATCGCGCATTGCAGGCGGTCGGTATAAGCAAGGCCAAAGCTTGGAGCCCACCAGCTATCTGCAGTAGAACACTAGAGAATCCGACGAAATTGAAAAAGGAAGAGGCTGGAATCTCGACGTGCTATAGAAGCACATCTTGTCCAGTAGAAACAAATCTCGCCCAGGAGCCAGCCAATCATTTGCACCTCTGTCTAAGTAATGTAACTGCCGATTTCCCAATCCGGCCGTGCCAAGAACAAGGCTCTGCAAGAGCCGACCTAATTCAAGGTTGTTCATGGAAAAGCCTATACAAAGGGCGACTTTACCTGATCTGGCATATATATCTCAAAATGTCTCACTAGAAGGGGCCTGGAAGAAGTGGGAGCGCACGTCCGATATGGTGGTGCTAAAGGGTGTTGTTCCATGGAGGGAAACGGTTGCGGGGAGGCGCATCGACGTGAGTATAGATAGAGTTCGGGGCTTGATTCAGATTGCAACGGAGGCGCGCAGAAATGCCCGGACAAGTCCAGGGGAAGGAAAAACGCTCTTCTACACTAGAGAAGCGCCAAGACGGAAGGGCTGGGTAGGGCTACAGTCTTGTTGCTGTAAGACAGAAGACCACGCAGAACCAGATCTCTGGTGCCCCTCTTGATAACGGGCGGGTTCAGGGTGCCAATCAAAATAGGGTTTTTCTTGTCAGGAATCTAGGTGGTTGAGACTCGTGGCATGCAGTAGGCTGTTGCGACTTTCCAGCCATCATCCATGAAGACTTGCAGCTGGATCTCCATGGCCTCAGCGTGGGCAGAAAGAACGTGAGCCCTGCACTTGACAAGCGAAATCTGAGCCCACAGGGACCGCTCCCGCCAGTTGGCTTTGCCGGGGTACCGATACCAAAGAGCTGCCACGTTCCCGACTGTCAGACAAACAGTCTCCTATAATCTTGTCTTGGGTCTCTAGTAGGATAGAGTCCGTCATTGCATGCGGGAACACACAGCCAGGCAACATGGCAGAACGAATACCCCCTCTCGAGCCCATACTATTCTCTATCAACCATAACCAGCCACCTGAGGGGACAAACCACGTTCCTACAGGTGCCCTTGCTCTTGCGCCGTTCTAGGGATCTCTTGCATCCATCCACGAGGTAGATATAAAAGGCTCGGTCTCATCTGGGGCACGTACCTCATTTTGTTCGTCATCGACCTTCATGTTTTTGTACAGCACATTCTTTCACTCCCAAAAAAGTCCTATCATCAGTGTCAATGCAAGCTTCATCAGTCAAACAATAATACCACATAGAACACGATAAGAAACCATGTTGAAATCATTATTAACGTACGCCACGCTCCTGGCCAGTGTCGCCGCTCTTCCAGTCGCCGAGGAGGCAGCCATCGCGGAAATGGAAGCCAGGAGCAGCGTTCCAACGGAAGAGAATGCTGCCTGTTACGTTGCTGCGGGGAGCTCATGTCCCAGCACCGCGGTGGAATCCAAAGGCGACCACGACGACGGCAAGAGCATCGGTCTCGTCGTCCGCAACACGGACACCAAGGACCGCATGTTTTTCATTTATAAGAACAGCTGCGACTGCGTACCCGTCAAGTACCTGACAATTCCGGCCAACAGCAAGAAGTTCATTGCCTTCCCGGCCGACTTCCAGGGCCGTCTGCAACGCGGCACGACGCACAACCTGGACGGCAAGACGCACCGCCTCGGAACGTGGATGGAGTTCTCGTGGGACAAGAACGGCTGGGGCTGGGCCGACGTCTCGCTGATCAAGGGCTGCGACGGCGCGGTCAGCGTCAAGGCCATTGACGGCATCGGCGCGTCACAGGGCTTCACTGACGACGTAGATGTGCTCGATGGAGCACCGACGGGTGCCTACAAGAAGAAGGCCGGCGGCGGTGCCAAAGTCATCATGGAGACGGAGAATGTATCCGACTACAAGGACATCTACACCATTCCGAGGAACTGGCTCGCCAACAAGCTCGGCTGGGACAAGGCATACATTGACGACTATCACGGCAACCCAGACATTTGCTCAGTAAACGGTCGCTTCGACATTACGTTCTATCCGGGACGCTCCTAATCAGTAGCTGCGCCTATTGATATCCAGAGCATTAAAAGATTTGCATCACGTGAGGAGATATCTGAAGAGGACGGCGTCCTCCGGGGGCAGGCTCTCGAAAACAAATACCCTCCTTCACCCCATTTGTGTTTCAAGCGGGCTTCACAACGACCAGAGAGCGGGAACCAGAATACGCACCGGTCGATCCAACGGGCAGGAGTAGTCGGCGTACAGGACGAGTGAATTTTGTTTCCCTTTGTTATTTGACGATGGGATGATGACAGATGATGCGAAATGATATCCAGCTTCATTGCTGAAGAAGCTATACATACGCTTACGAGAACGAGGCTTGTCTCAACATGAGTCCGAGTCCTCATGTACATACTTTGTGTACATACTTTTTTTACTCAAGGCAGCATAGTCACATAGCTCTATAACAAGTAAAAGAAATGTTAAAATCAACCCCTGAGCGTCAAGAAACATTGTGAGCGAAATGTGTAAAACTTCGTTGTCCAAGTTGAAAGTGTGTCTGTCATTGGCGATAATCGTAACTTGGGATTGTTTCAAACCCTAATTTAAGTAGCCAGCCGTTGGAATATCGCGCATG